TCAATTATGGTATCAGGTTCAATGGTTCCCAATGAGAGAAAATTTTTTAAAGTAGCCTATATATTTTCAACATTCGCATGTAAACGGCAATTAATAACTGGATTAGACTTTGTTCATAAAAAACTAGTAGTACAATTCCAATTTTTATTGGATTCGCATTTGAAATCTCTGAGCAATGGTTGCATATCAAAACAGTTTTGAGGGACATATGGTCCAAACAACCATTTCAAACAGTTGAAGTTTATTCATATTACAGTTGAAGGTTTGATATTACAATTATTTGCAAACAAAAAGTTTAACGAAGGTTTGTATCAATGTCACACTTAGTCGCAGCAAAATATTAGCGTCACTTACAAGTTAGCAAGAAATAGTATTTTATCACTAGTAAACAAACCAAATATTATATATCTCATCACGGTAGCAATTCTTCGCTAGAAAGGGTTGGCACTAAAAAAATTTATTCCACTAGATTACTAACTCTGTTTTTTAGGAACGGGTTTTTCAAGATCAAGTACACCTTTTGGTGATTTGACCTTATTTTGAATATTTTATTGCTGGCATTTTGTTTGTCGGAGCTATTTGTTTTTTTTTCTGCTCAGGAGTCATAATAGCAAATAAACTAGCCAATTTTTCATCTCTCATCACGGTAGCAATGCTTTGCTTGAAAAGGTTGGCACTTGAAGAAGTTATCCCCTTTAGAGTACCGATTCTGGTTTTCAAGAACGTGTTTTTCAAGAGCAATTACATCGTTTGGTGGTTTCATCTGGGTGTACATTTTGTTGCTGGCATTTTGGTTGTAGGAACAAAGAACAGCTAAAACGCAATTAGTTTTAGAGATCACGTAATTTAGGTAATTTAGTGAGTCAGCAACAATTTTACGAGCGGCCTCTATAGGTGGTGAGTACTCATTTACTACAGGTGGTAAGTACTCATTTATAAAGATAGTTTAAAAATTCATCTTATTTGTTTATCCTGATTTTCGATAACTGTACGCATCATCTCGTACCTTCAGTTTATGAAATTTTACTATGCAACTTAGCTTCAAACTATCAGGCCACTCCTTGCACTATGAAGGACTGCTACATTCAAATGTTTGTTACGAAACCAGATAGCGTTTCTGGCCAAGTTTTTTTTTGTCTTTTACATCGACAGAGGGATTTCGTATGACCTCAGAATCTTTTATCGAAAACTTTTCGAGGTCCTCACAGTTCACAACACGCCATAAGTTTATCAAACCTGTCTGTGTTGTCCAACTAATTCTTGTTAACCCATGTCGTTTTAACTTTTCTTTTGTAGGCATCTTTCACTCTCAGTACCAAGTGTTTGCTATCTTCATGGAGAAGTGTCGTCTAGGGCTACACTGATTGCGCTCACATCATCCACTAAAAATCAAGTAACCAATCAAAAATTACTGAAATCAACTAATCAATTTTAGTACAGTTCTCATACAAAACGCTGTTTAAAAGCGCAATTACTAAAGCGCAGTCTAATCAAACAAAAAAGTAGTTCAAATTTAAACAACCGTTTTTTAGAATTTGAATTTGTTTTTAGTGGAGGAACAACAGCAATTTTTGGTCGAGGAGGTTAAGAAACAATTTTTTTTGTTGGAATTAGTTGGATCACAGCATACTTGAGTCGAATGTTTTCGTTCTCTCAAACTGTGCAAAAGGTAGATGTATAGAATCTACACGTTTTGCACGTTTTGAGTTTTAGGGGTTGATATGCGTTTTGTCTGGACATACAAAATGTTCATCAAAACGTTTAACCTGGTTGTGAAAGTATCTCCATCAAAAAAAGAGAGACAGCTGCAATTACTCTGGCAAAATAGCGCCATATACAAAAAATTTTGTTTTCGTTTTCTGTGAGGTTCTGAGATTCATTCCAGGCGCGGATTTAGGAATTTCTCGAGGAAGGGTCGGACTTTCAAAAAAAAATTGAAAATTTTGTCGACCTTTTTTTAGGTCGACCAAATTGATTTTCTGAGCTCTCCTAAAACACTATGAAGGCGCTAACTTGACCAAAAATTCTGCTCCGCAGGCAAACTTTTGAAATGAGGCGTTTTTTTGAAAATTTCGACCAAAAAATGCCTCTCAAAATTAGTATAGATTGGCGCCGAAGGCGCCTTTAAAAAATATAATGGTCAGTCAGCCGAAAATGGATATCTCGAAACAGTACTAAGGGGGACCCTCCGGGTCGGCAGGGGATCAAATCCTTGAGAGGGAGGACGTCCGAAGCCCCCCCCCGAATCCACTACTGATTTGTTCAAAGGTTTGGTAGGTAGCCCGATTGAAATTGAGAAACAAATAAATGTTTTCAGCGTAAGATTCGTAAAAATGTCGGACGTTTCTGCAGAACCCATTTCGTGATGCAACGGATTTTCAAATTGAATTCTAGTTCAATTCGACAGGCATTATCTTGATTCGAAAAAGACGAAAAAGATTTAAAAAACAAAAGAACATTTACAAAAAAATTCTAAAAATCTAAATCATGTGTTTGTAATCTAATTAACCCCGTCGATGTGCTCAATCTATGTTCCGAATTTCTCGACCAAAATTTGGCCTACTTTGAGTTTTTCGGCCAAACTGTGGTACGTTTCAATTTTCTCGACCCAAGGAAAAATGTTTCGGGTTTCTTAATCCAAACTTTATAAGTTCCAACTTTTTCGACTTTCTCGTCCCATTTTTTTCTGAACAAAGTTTTTGATCACACTTATTTTGACTGTCTCAGTTTCCTCGGCAGAATACATGTATGTATGTTTGTATGTATAAAGCTATATATGTATGTATGTGTGTATGTAAGTAAGGATGTATATATGTATATATATGTATGTATGTGTGAATGTGTTATATATATATATATATATATATATATATATATATATGTATGTATGTATGTATGTGTGTATGCATGTTTGTATGCATGTATGTATGCATGAATGTAAGTATGTATTTATGTATATATGTTTGTGTGTATGTATGTATGTATGCAAGTATGTATGTATGTAAGAATGAATGAATGTATTTATGTATGTACGAATGTATTATCGCACGTTTTTCTGAGCAATTTTTTTGCTTAGTTTTTATCTGAAATGTAATGAAAAACTCTGTGGTTGGTCGACCTATGTTTCGACTGTCCTTTACCTATGTCTCGACTTTATTGGCCGAGCTCGTGTTTGTTGACTTTGGGCTCGACTTTCAGTTGCTTCTCGACACTGACTTCCAATCAAAAACTGCATTTTCTCCCATTTCAAAGTCAAAACAAGTCGAACACCTCAACCCTGGAAAACGTTTAAACTGTAAGCATGGTTTTTTAATCAGTCTAGCTGGCCATAAAAAAGTCAGTTTTTCATACCAAATCAACATAAAACAGCAAATGAATCGTTATTATTTAAAAAAGGATGACTTATGACTGCAATGGTAGCAGATTGGTAACTTTGTTTTATTAACTTTTTCATAAAAAAGCATACCATAACCTGATGATTGGACACTTATGCAATAATTTGAGAAAATAATTTTTTATTCACAAAACATGGGTTACTTAAACCGTTTTGCTTATTTAATCTGTTTTATATTTCTACTAATTTAGAACAGTTGAACAGGTTCATAGAGTAGCGCGTTTTCCAAACAGTTAAATGGAGGTTTATTCATTGAGACTCATGATCTCTTGCTTGCCAACTTTTTCTCCCATTTCAAAGTCAAAACATGTCGAACACCTCAACCCTCAATTCAACTATTTCGGAAACTTTTTTTTGAAAACTGATGCAGAAAACATGAAAACGCGGATTTTATGGTTGCATTTCAAAATTTCAATATAAAAACATTTTTTTCCGGTCTTAAGTTTCTCATAAAAAATAGAATTTAAGGATTTAAATATGAATGTACAGTTATCTGGATCATAGATTTTTTCTGGAAATGTATATTTGTTCTTGTCAAAGAAGCGTTTTGGTGATAACTTTGCTTTGGAAGAAAAAACGATTGATCAAAATATACCATTTTTAACCTAAAATTCATATTTGAGCACCGAGTTTGGTAAACAAAGTGAAAGACTTTCCAGAAGTTTTAGTTTCTGTTTTAGCAGGATCCATTCAGCACTGGATTCAGTAACAGTACAAATGGATAAACAGAAAAACTTCAAAACTTTGGAAAAATGTTTAGTTCTACCTCAATTATGTTAAATATTAGATGCAGTTTTCAAAATTTTTCTCTGAAAATTCCTGCAATTTTGCCAGACAGATACTGAGACTACTTCAAAAAACTTTTACTTTAATTTCTCGAAATTTATGGATATTTCACAATTCTTCCAAAATTTTGGAACTTTCACCTGCGTTCCAACTAGGTTTCAGCTTTGCTTTTGATATTCAGAGAACTATATAACACACGTCGTTCTTGCTCAAATTAGATCAAACCTTGTCTATTTTCATTCACAACATGTTTCGTTGTCCTAAATTTATACCATCTAAATTACAATTTGAGTTATGTTTTCCCTCTACACGTATTATACCTCTGGTATTTAACATTTAGATCAGAAGCTATTAAACAATTTCCAAAAACTTGAGATTACTCACAAAAAAACTCGGATTTTTTTACCATCTCAACCCAACTATCCACACCAATACCCGCGATGTGGCTCCGACATATTCTACTAATCCTAGTCATTCAATTTTCATAGTTATGAAACTTCTTGACAAGCATTTTTTTCAATCTCAATATCTCAAATTGTATGACTAGCATTTTTTTGTATGGAGCTCAACCCGGGATGTTGCAGATGGTATAAGAAGTCATAAATTCAAGTTATGAATGTTATTTTAACAATGTATGCCCACACTTTGTCGTTTCAACTGCTTGTGTTCACAATTACCGGTCATCCCAATTTCTTCTAAGAGTTTCACAGCATCCAATCTCTACACTTGAGAAACGTATCGTTAAGTAAAAAAAATGTGCGTGGTTATAATTTTTCTGCTTGAAAATAAAATTAATATATACATGCAGAATTGTGTGGCTTTTTTACAACTCAAGATATGCTATGTATAATTTCTGTTGCTATAGTTTTTGTAATGTATTGTGGTATTAGAATTCAGTGTACTCATTTAGTTTAGTCCCAGGAGTGCTGAAAAAAACTGAATCAAACGAACCATTTTACTAGATATGTTTTATCAATTGTTTTTGTGTTATTCGTCAGAGTAGTTTTTCGCGAACTAACTTCACGAATGCTTTAGAGCAATCTCTCAAATCCTTAGTCTTGTGAGTGTTTTATGAAATCTATTTGCAGTACGTTGAACCTTTTTCCCCCCAAAATAACAGTACTCGCTAGCTATAACTTTAACAGATTTATGTATTCACTGGCCTTGAAAAATATGGCGAGCTTAAATTATTATGCTCTTAAATTATTATGCCCGCAAAACCCCAAACCACATAGTTTGCTAACCAAAAAATAGGTGTCTATCTGAGATTATAATGTAGGGCATTGGTGCCTGTCTTAGATTCCATTATAGAGTTTTGGTGTAGAAGGGCTTTGGTGTGGGTTTTTGTAAGACCCTAAAGTTTGCGTTTCACATTTCTTGGTTTAATAATACAGAAACCTAATTTAGAAATAGATGATTATCTTATGAGGAGTTTTGTCGAAACTGAATCATAATTTTCAGTTATTGTCTTTGAGATAAGTACGATATGAATCTATGTGAAAATTTTGGTCGGAGCAAAAATTACAATTTCTAGTTTTTGTCGTCGAATTTGGATATGAAACTGTTCGCTCTCATTGGCCTTAGAATAATCCACTACAGTTTCTTGTATGGTCTCAAAACCAAATCAGAATGAAGTCCTTCCGCAAATTGTTCTCTGGAAAGTATCTCTGGATTACTAACGTAGTGTCCTCCTGTTCTTTCGCCTTCCTGGGGGATGTTGTCGCTCAACGCATCGAAGTCAGGGGGAGACCAGCAAAAAGTCTTCAAGTTTTAGAGAGCTCTGAAAAAAAATTCGTTAAACTTAAAAATTTTAAATTGCCAGAATTATAGATTATTAAGAAGTCTTTCTGGGTGGATAATAAAATTTGATCGACTAGGATTTATTAAACAATTCCATCCAAAAAAGAAATTTGTAAAATCATAGCACTGCAAGAATGCAATTGCTTATTATAGAGTTACGTTTAGTGAGAGGTCGGATAGTACGGTTTGTTTATACTTTTATCATTCATTGTTGATCTGGGAGTTTTTTTTTCTTAGGGATCCGACCCCCTGACGACCCAAAGGTACTTCGGTACTTTTTAAAAAATCCATTTTTGACTGACCGACCCTAAAATTTTCTACATGCGCCAATATATACTAATGGGTTTTTGAGTCAAAGCGGTTTTTTCAAAATTTTTCAAAAAGTGCCCAAAAACGGCCTTTTTGACTTGCTTTTTCAAAAATTTGCCTGCGGCTAATTATGTCAGAATACGCTCTGCTAGTTTCTGGGAGCGCTCGGAAAATCATTGTTCGACCTAATCAAAGGTCGACAAAAACTTCAAAAATTTTTTGAACCCCCCTCCCCATCCTCGAGAAAATCCTAGATCCGCCTCTGTTGTTGATGATGAGATATTATAAATGAATTTTAAGTTGGTCCCCCCTGATTGAGGCAAGTAAGAGGAGCGATACAGATGAGGGGATGAGGAAGGGGGTGAGAAGAGAGTGGAAGTGGGATCGGGAGAGGTCGTTGAGACTGTCCAGCATGTACTTCCTCTACAGTCCCTGGCAGACTGGACTCTATCTCCTCATGGACACATTCATACCGGGTAAGAGAAGAATCTAAACCGAGTGCGGGTAGGGATGGGTGGGGAGGGGGTGAGGTTGGTGGTTTTTTTTAAAACAATAGGGCCAACCAACATTCCTTCCAAGCAATCAAAAATATTTTTCTAAAAGTGCATAGATGCCGAAGCTGAAAATAATTATTTAATTATTTTTCGGAAAGCTTATATTTAAAAAAATGTAGGTAACTAATTTATGTTATGATCATGTAGTTTGAAAATAATTTATTATGATCTATATTGATAACTCAAAAAACTCATTATTAGAAAAAGCAATTTTTGCATTCGAGCCGGGAGTGTTGAAATCACATCCAAAAAATGTGCCTTAAGTCTAAAATTCGTTTTTTATTTTGCAGCAATTTACCAGATATTTTTTTTCAATCCACTGATCAAATTACAAATAGTAATCTCCCACTAGATCATAGAAAAACCAAGAATAGTATATACATCAATGAAAACAAATGTTCAGAAGGTATCAGGTCATGCAACCTGTTTCTAATCAACTTTGAAAGAGCACAAATTATCTATAGTCAAACCCAATGGTTCCAATTTTACTTGTTGCTGATTTCAACAAATCTTCATGCGAATCACCTCATAATATTTCTGCTGAAGGACTAATCAGATGTTTTAGATGTAAGTCTCTAATTGTTAACATATTCCACTCACATGATATTTCATACACACGGCCAATTCTTTAAAATTTAAGCTAAGTCTTCACAAATAGTGCTAATTTTTATGCAAGTCATCATTGAAAGCTTTGTCGGCAGTCCTTAAACAAATGCTCCATATTCTGTTACTGTTGTGCAATAGGTAATTTAAAACTCAACTAGCTATTTTCATGTTAAAACTTTCTCAATGTATACGTTTTTGGCCGTTTTCAAACCATGTTCTACATGAAATTTGAATTTAAATTTGCAATCAGTAACTAACTAAAAATAAATTTACTTAAGCTATCTAGGAGCTGTAAATCTTTAAATTGACGTTTTTGACTCTTCTGGATTGGCAAATTTGAGATTTCTCCGGATTGACAAATTTGGGATTTCTCCGGATTGACATTTTTGGAACCCTTCCGGATTGACAATTTTGGGACTCTTCCAGATTAGCGAATTTGGGCCTGTTCCGGAATGACGATTTTTGGAACTTTCGGGAATGACAAAATAGGGGCAATTCCCGATTTTCTAATTTATGACCTTTCTGGATCTGCGATTTCGGTACTCCTCCGCGTCGATGAATTTAGGACTTTTCAGGGTTGGCGATTTTGTGACCCTTCCAGATCGACGGATTAGGTTTCCCACCGCATCGACAATTTTGGACACTACTGGACTGAAGTCCGAATCCAAACTTGAGTTGTCCGAAATCCAAATTTTTATTATCTTTATTCTAATATTTTATAATAAAACCGTGTCATCGACAAATACTTTTTAGTTTAATTTGATCACAAATAGCGTTCAGAACAAATATCGTACGAACCAAAAACAGATCTTTTGTACCACTTTTTATGACAAGGTTTTCAGTCTTGAGTTGTCGTTGCCAAAAAAATAGCTGTTGTCACAAAAGCTTGTCGTTAGTAAACCGTGAATTGATCGGCGTAGTTCATGATTTAATTTTTTTTTGTTAACAACAACTTGTGTGGAACCGTGTCAACTGCTTTTGTTAGTTCAATTAAAACGCTCTGTGTCTGCTTTTATTTATGTTTATAATCTTTTTTTCCACAAGACTAATTGAATACATTGCGCTTGAATTGCCTCCCATAAGCATAACCACTTTTTGAAAATAGACTTGTTTCTTTCCAGAAAAACATTTGATTGCTCTTGAAATAATTTTTCAAAAAAAAAGTTTGCTGAAAACTGGCAACATTTATGTCGGACAGTTGTTGGAGCTACCATGTTTTGTCTGATATAATAATAAATGACTAAAAGGCCCAGCTTACGAGCCTTGTTTAAGAATTACTAGCAATTTTGCATTTCATCCAAGTTTTTTCTGGTATCACTCTTAAGCAGCAAATGGCAGGCCTCAGACCAGCGAAGCTTTGACTAACTGGCGAAGACTTGTTTACGTGCTACCTAGAAAGCTAGAAAAAAATCCTGACTGTAAACACTAACTTTCTGTTTTTTTTTCAGGCACCACTATTCGAGCAATCGGGTGCAAAATAATCCTCGACGAACTGAATGCCATTCCACTGTACATTTCATTTGTGACCATCCTATCCCTCCGAGAGGGAAACACCCTCAAAGAGTCACTCAACCGAACCATGACCCAATTCTGGCCCATATATTCTATGGACTTGCGTGTATGGCCCGCAGCCCAGTGTATCAACTTCCTCTATGTGGGATCCGCTTTCAGAGTAACTTATGTCAACCTTGTGACTTTTATCTGGGATATTTTCTTGTCATATACGGTCCATAAAGAACCAGAAATAGCAGCACGTGAACGAAGATTAGAAGACCCAATCAGCTTCAAAAAGAAAAATATACCTTTTGATAGTCATGACCAAGCAATAGTTGGTTGATAAAAAAGAGAGTTTGTAATTTTGGAGAGAAACCAATTCCGTTGCTATAGCTTCGACAAGATTTTGTAACGCCGATCATTCCGCAGAACTAATTCTACAACTCAACCATATTCAATAATTAAAGGAGTACTTTCTAAATGTATTTGGATAATTGAATTTACAGACAGATTTAGCGAAAATTGCTTTGAAAGTTTTAAAAATACTTCTTGCATCATGTCATGTATTTCTTCAATTGAATAATTATTTGAGTTGCTTATCTGGTATAAAACACAAGAGAGAAACTCGGACAAAACACGCACTCATGAAAATGTTTTCACGCAAAATCCTGAGTTAAGTCCGGGGTGGCTTCCTCATACAGTAATTTTGGATAAGATACACCGTCTGTTGATCCCCCTATCTTTTTTTTCGGCCGGATAGATTCGTCCAACTTCTTAGTCTAATACAGGTCCTAATCTTGCTCTTATATTTGCTAGTCTCAATAGATCTAATATATACTGGTATTGTTGCGAGGTTAGAATTGAGGAAGAGCAACTGCTTGCTAAGTTAAACTTAATCTTCTCTGGCTGAAACTATAAATAGTTTCAACCTTATAAATTATTGTAGTTTTTCGTCATCGATCATAATTGATTAGTTCTAAGTATTTTACAGTTATAGTTATCAAGAATATAATTGGATTTATTAAATAGTTGAAATGGTTCCACCCATCTGGGGAATAGAACGTTTTTAAGCATTAAGTTTGTTCGAGTGAAGGCGAGATGGAGAAGAGAAACAGTTGGGATGGTACCACCCAAATACTACCATTGATTTTTCATATGAAACACAATCTTTAAATCTATAGAAATTTAGAAGAAAAAGTTAGTTAGAAATTTGAAAACGTTGTTGAGAATGTAAACGTTGGAGAACACTGATACTTTGGGAAAAGAACCCGCCTGTGAGAAAATAACATGATCACTTAAAGAGCTCGGTCTGGGAGATCGCCGTTAGGCAAGTTAAGCCTGCTTTCACGTTCTGAGCGCAAAAACAAAGATTTTAATTGGGATGGTGTATATTACGATACGATACGATACACAATTTTTAAACTAAACTAAAAAAAACATATAGAAAAAAGTTTAGTTAGAGAAACTTTGAGAAAATTGGGACAAAAAACAGTTCGAGAGCATTTTTTGAAATGGATTGGCTAAAAACATTTAAAAATTTGATGGGTGACTTGTTTTTGAATATACTTGAAAATGCTTGAAAATGAGTTGGCATTTAGCGTGAAGACATTGGTAAACAACCCTGATCATTTTTCGAATGATTCCAATTTTCACGATTTCCTCCTTGAATGATTATTCAGCTACTACAGTCAATCAAAATTTGCCGAAAGTTAATAGGACAGGTTTTGGGATGAAGGATGGCAGGCGTTGGTGAATACATATCCCAGCAAGTCGACACCAACACCATCTAATGTTTTCCTCCCTTAGCACAGTTTTACACCCTCCAATTTGAAAAACGTTAAAAATGTTGGTCAAATTGGATGTTGAAAACTCAGGCTATGGGTGGAAATTTTTGGATTTGGTATTTTGCAAATTTTGACCATCAGCTGATATAGGGACCAGTTTTGAAATTATGTAAAGTTTATATAAGTTTTGAACTTCTGTCTGGGTACCTGCTGCTGTGACCTTGCGATCGCTATCATCTGGCATAAGTTAAAACAACCAAGTGCACTAAAATTAGGTTTTCATACCATTCAGATGCTTGATCAATTTAAACTTACCTTAACATACTTTTGGATCTTCAACATGGGGCAGCCAGCTGAAAGAAAAGGAGGGGGGAAAAATCCGCTAAATATATTATCGTTCTGGGACGCACGCACGCCAGAACCTTCAACCTATTGGGAGGAGTGGATCATAAAGTTCCACTGGGTAATGATAGCAAAAAATGATATCGATCCTGACGATTTATTTTGCTAACACTCTAGATGAAACGGCGATAGCAGCGTTACCGGGGGAACTCAATGGAAAAAATTGAATCGATGCGGAGAAAAGGCTAAAATTCAAATCTGTATCTCTGTATTGGAGATGAAGCGCAAAGGATATTTAAAGCCCGAAAACCGGCGGTTAGTATCAAAACGGAGAGGTACCCACGAGTGCTAGACGAGATGCAAAACGTATTCAAACGAAAACGAAACATAACACATGAGCGAGGACTATTTTACGGGAGAAAGGGAGGACAAACCTTTTGAGAATTTTCATGCGGAGTTAAGCGCTCTAGCCGGAAGGTGCGATTTTGCTAATGCGGCCGAGAATAATGCTAACGCCGCCGGACATCCCTAAAAGTAATACTGGAACAACGTATGAACCCAAGGAACATAATTACTTAGTCCAATTGGGTTTCTGGGGTCCGGTAAATTATGCACAGGGTCGGAAGAAATACGTTTTAGTAGCAATAGATACTTTTCCGCATTGGCCGCCGGCAAACGTCTGCTCAAGTAACAAATCGAAAAACGTAATCAAATTCCTAAGGAAATATATAGATACACATGGTCACCCAAGGAAATTACATATGGATCAGGCGGCCGGATTCTTCTCGATTGAAAACCAAAATTTTTGTAATTACGAGGGCATTGAACTTATAGAATCCCCAGTTAAAGACCACCAGGCAACGGGGATGGTCAAAGAACCATCGGCTCGATGAAAAAAAACTACGTCCTAACATACCTACAGGAAAATAAGAACTATAAACTTGGATTGATGATATCACGAGCGTTAAGCGCTTTACGATTTGTGCCGCATTCTAAAACTAGACTGACGCCATTTGAGGCTTATCACGGAAGAGAAGTTATTACCGCCCTTCGGAACCTAACGAAAAAAACATCGCTTAAAAATCTAACTTGGAAGAATGTAATTAACCACAAATTACAATGTTTAGATGAGGCAAGTGGTCTACCCGAAGTGGAACTAAATCTCGACTGGAAGAAACGCAGCGACTTAGTGTATGCTCCAGAAAATCGAAAAACGCCTGGGGTCTTAGAAAAGCACGAGCTAGCTGAAGCCGAGGTGGAACTCACACATCCTAAGGCACCGGAGTGGCTAAAGCGCAACAAGACGAGCACTACAGCTGATCACCAACGTACCGGAAAAACGGATCCGAAGGACCCAAGGAGGTATAGACGTTTACCAATGAAAATAGAAAAATTAACGCCACATACGGTGCAAATGAATAAAGGATCATTACTCAGGAGAAGTGGGGTTTCGTTTAGATCAGCGGCTGAAGAAAATAGAGTTGAAAAGGGGAACGACGCGAATACCCCGGGACCTAGTAAACCGAGGAAACCTAAAAGTAATGCGGGGGGCACTGAAAAAATGACCTCATCAATGAAACGGGCGTTGACGAACAGTGAGAAGCGAAGGATAAAGAAAAGGCGGGTATTAGAGCAGCGACGAAGAGAGCGACGAGGAGGATGAGAGCGAACGGACGAACGTGAGACGAGAAGGCGAAGTAAAGACAACTACGGCGACGGAAAATCAGACTAGCGGAGCGGACGAACCGTCGGGGACGGAAAAAGCGATATTACCAAAAGCCGTCGGTCATAAAGAGAAAAATGAGTGAAGAAGCAACGCGCCGATCGACGCGACAACGAAAAGGAGTGGGCAAGATGGGCGGAGTGATGATTCATCGTATCGAGTAAAAATGAGTGAAAGAAGAAAAGGACCCAGGGAGAGGGTTGGCAAGTGTGCTCAAAAACGCAAATTAACGTTAACCTAGAACTTAAAACTTTTGTCATTAAAAACTAAAACTGCTGATTAAAACTACGGAGTGAATTATGAGTATAATAAATTTTCAATCTGAAATTTCAAATTTGTTTGTGATTGCCCAAATGATATAAGGACCAGTTTTGAGTTTATGTAAAGTTTATGTAAGTTATGATCTTCTGTCTGGGGACCTGCTGCTGTGATCTTGCGATCGCTATCGTCCGGCATAAGCTAAAACCATCAAGTGCAGTAAAATTAGATTTTCATACCATTCAGTTGCCTTATCAATTTAAACTTACGTTAACATACGTTTTGGATCTTCAACAAAGCATCCGCACATGCGTGACTACCCGATCCCAAAACAGTATCCTTTTACATCCGTTATTAAAAGTTTCGGCAGATGTTTTGATGGGTTGCAGTATATGCTAACTTATTTTTTTTTCAATGTGAAAACTTGCATCAGTGTTGAAAAAATGGAAATTTTGTACCGAACTCTGCATGCTAACTTTAATTTTAATTTCACTCATTTTCAAGTATATTGTAAAATAAATAACTTATTTCCAGTTATTTTGTATGCAAAATTAACTTAACTAAACTTAGCATTATATAAAAAGCTGTGAAGATTCTTTACAACGGAATTAGAACCTGATTGAGTATTTCTTGTAATTTGCAAGTCCGACGAGTTGCTTTGATTTCAATTGCATATTGTGAGGGATTCAACTTCGGTTTACATATTAATTGACAGTGTTTGAGGAGAAAAAAAAATTCGGTATTCCAATAGTTAATTGCGTCAAAAACCCCAGATTTAGCGCTCAATTGCATCTTGTTTTAGCGAAGTTTCGACCTGAGTTCCTTTGAATTATCATCAGAACTGATCATTAAAAGTGATAACAGTTTAAACTGTTTATAGTTTAAGCATGGACCTTCTTACATTAGTTATGACTGTTCTTCTTCATTTCTTACTGCAGTTCAGCCAATCACTCAACAAATTGACCCGAACTGGTGATAGAGTTCAAAGTTTAGCCAATTTATAGGTAAATACTCTCAGATCTCTTACTATCTCCCATATTGCAGAAAAGGACAAATACTCGAAGAGGCTAAAAATCAGTCTATTTTTATCCGTTGAATTAGTTCGTTATCGACGTGGTTAATTTTCTCTAGGCACGATGGTTTTGACAAGTAACAAAAAGGATGTATTTTTTTCATCAAGTTGATTTTTGCTCCTTCGTTCAATTTTCCAACCAATATACTATTTCCGGTGGTAACCCAAAAACAATCTATTTTCCAGCTTTTGACAATTCTCAGAAACGACTGAAGCTGAAAACGTAGGACCAAAAGTTTCTTTGATCATTTCAGGTAGCTTTAATTTTTCCAACTAAACCCCAAAACTTTGATCTCATTTCTTATTTATAAAATTTTAAGCAAAATTGATTAAATAATGTTAAATGAGACACGATCCTCTAGCAAAAAATATTTATTTTGACATTTTAGAATTCAAAAAATCAATTCAACAGTTTTTAATTGATATCAACTCTGTACAACACTGATGATGGTATGGATTTTGTAGGAAATTTTGTCGCAAAGACAATTTCAGCAGCATTTAACTTCATTCAGCGTTTTACCTTTTTCCTCCGCTTCACATTTTTTTATCCAAGTCGCAGTTGGAGGGGATTATGTTCAAGAAAAAATTTAAAAACTATGCTACAAGCAATTTTTTTTGTAGCGCCAATGTCTGTAGCGCCAATATCACTTTTATTAATCGAGAGAGCAATTTGCGCCCCTTATGCAAATGATAATGAACTATGAATGTGAACTGAATTTAAAAACAAATCAAAGACTGTCCAGTTATAAATTCCAGCATGATCAAAATTAGTGCCTTTTCCCACTTCCATCCATATTTGAATTTCAGTTTTGAAAAACTAATTTTACGGTGTCATAAAATAATGAAATTATTTTATGACTCCGTAAAATTAGTTTTTTTTTTTCAAAACTGAAAATCAAGATTGGATGGAAGTGGGAAAAGGCACAAATTTTGATCATGCTGAAATTTATAACTGGGCAGTCTGACTTTTGATTTGTTTTTAAATTCAGTTCACGTTTTTAAATTCAGTAGCGCCAATATCAAATAATCTAATATTCAGCCTGCTCCGTAAAACTTTATTCTACCTTTTGAGAAAAATTTTTAGTGCAGAGGCGAAGCAGTGCTTCGCAAACACAAGCAAGGAAAATGCAAAAAAGACCTCCTTCTACACAGGACAAAACAAAGTGTATTAAGAAAAGATTAATAAAACATGATAAAAATAAGAAGCGGAGAAAAAAGGTAAAACGCCGAATGTCTGTAGCGCCAATATCACTTTTAATAATCGAGAGAGCAAATTGCGTCCCCTTATGCAAATGATATTGAACTATGAATGTGAATTGAATTTAAAAACAAATCAAAAGTCAGACTGCCCAGCTATAAATTTCAGCATGATCTAAAATTGTGCTTTTTCCAACTTCCATCCATATTTGAATTTCAGTTTTGAAAAACTAATTTTACGGTATCATAAAATAATGAAATTTTGCATGGTGAGCAAACTAGCTAAAGTGAACACATTTGTTTTTCAAACATAACTTCGTAACATCACGCGTTCAGCCATAATATTACGTATAACAATTGAAAACAAAGGAAAATTTGAAAGGTGGCGGAAAGTGGAAAAGAGCCAATTTTTTTTACATTGTAATGACAAATATGGCTTTTTTTCAAAGTTTTTAGTTTCAGAAATAAATACATCACGCCGAATGTCTCACATTTATAAACAGTGTAATAAGAAAAGCGTTCAGTTTTTTGCCGAAACCTAGCGAAATAAAGAAAATTGGGTCAAAAATTAATTTATTATTCAGCCTGTTCCTTAAAACTTTATTCTACCTTTTTAGAAAATTTTTAGCGCAGAAAATTTTAACGCAAAAAAGACCTCCTTCTAAACAGGCAAAACAGTGTAATAAGAAAAGATTAAAAATCACCTTAAAAAAACTCGAGTTTAGAATGTCACGCTCTCACATTTGCTCCACGACCGCTTGTAATTTTAATAACACTCACCAACAATAAGGCATCTACAGTTTCTATCAAATTGCCAAGATTATGCAGCAAAAACGCGACCAAAAAAACTATTCAAATGTTCCGGATTTGAATTTCTGACCTGTTGATTAGGAACCTCAAGTCACCGCATCTGCGCCAAGGTCACTTGAAAGAAAGCAAAAGGCCCAGTTAATGCTGGATCTACCTGTTCTAATGTTTTTTGTCATATTTTGTCCTCATACCAAAATGGGTCCTCATATATTGTCCTCATACTTGTGTTTCTCCGCTTCAGTAGGGGATTAGCTGATTAGTTAAAAGAGCATACTATTACTCAAGATCTTTCAAACAAGTCTTTATATCAGATTTGGCTGGGTTGTTTTCGAGAAAAAAAAAGTAAAAAAGATATCAAAAAAATCCAAAATTTGACTTTACTGAATTCATAAAATATTCTCAACTAAAGCATGGCAACAGCCTGCTTTCCACGCCCGATTTTTAAATTGAAGATTTTCGCACCCTGAATTTTTAGATTGAACCCTTAATATCAAATTTAGCCAGTAGTTTTCGAGAATAGCGACGAAACTTCTCAGAAAACAAACGGTTAAAAACTTTATAAGGAATTTTTCCAAATCGATATCAGCTTTTCTACAAAATAAAGTGAACACAAATTACGTTGCAGTAAGTAGAAAACCAAATGAGCAAATCACGTCTACATTGGAATTACAAACATTGCTTTTTTCATTTTTTTGAGCTTCAAAAATCAAACATCGCAGAAAAACGTTCAATTGCGAAAATCCTATCATGTACGTTTTTTTGCCAAAACCAAACCATTTAGAGACAATTGGATCAAAAAGTATCCAATTATTCAGCCTCCTCAGTAAGCTTATTTAATCCGCCTTCTGAGTAACCCTTTTAAATATACATATAAAGCCAACAAACAAAACAACTGCTAAAGCAACAATTAATCTAAGGAAACAATTTAATTTTACACTAAAAGAGTAATAATTGATGTTCAGAAAAGTATATATCACCTTAACGCTATCTCAATCGTTTGTAATTGCCATTTTTTAGAGCAGTTAAGATAACCGGGTGGACAAAAATTTCAATTTCTAAAACCAAAAACCCCCATATTATTCCCCGGACAATTATGAACTACTTAGTTTTTCATAACGTTATCTCAACTGACAACTGAATATATTTAATTTGAAAGAATTTTCTGACCAGTTTCCAGTAAATAATTCAAATCCTTTTTCAGCCAATCAGAATTGAGTATTCTCAAGTCTTTCTGCTTACTGACCTGTCTGCTTACCTATCTGTCTCCTTACTGCCGCACACCGCCAGAATCGAACCTACGTCCTAGTAAACCAGCTCAATTTTAAAACTTATTAACGTGTTGGGAGAAAGTGGCTATCGTATTATGCTTGTACCGCAATATCATTTCCTTCGTAGCAGGGGCGGATCTACGATTTTCTCGTTTCGAGTGGGGCGGATTATCAAAACACTTTCGAAAGTTTTGTCGACCTTTTTTTTGGTCGACAAAATTGATTTTCCGAGCCCTCCCGAAGCACTTGTGTTTAGCCAAATGTTTTGTACCGCAGGCAAAAAAGGCGTTTTGAAATAATTTTTGTAAAATTAGTTTTATTGGCGCCAAAGGCGCTTTTAGAAATTTAAGGTTGGTCAGCCATACATGGATGTCGTAAAGTTATACCAAAGGAGTGACTCGTTGGAAAACAGAATTGAGGGGAAAGGAGGGGGCCGGTCGCTCCCCCTCCCCCAGGCACGCTACTGCTTCGTAGATTTTGGTAAAACCAATAAACGCTGAACCAATGACAGCAGAGTCAACTACATTGGCAATCGTGACAAGCTCGAATGCTGAAAAACACTTCTATCCTTTTCTGCTTCCCCTTATGTTCACAGCTTGCATTCAAGAGCAGAGAATTGATTGCTCATGCGGTAATTTGCTGCTTCAATTTTTTTCAAAGCGTAAATTAACATTTCATTTTGAACACGTATAAAAATATCAAGCACTTTACATAGCAAATTTATCATAAGAAAAGACCATTCGAGAAGCTTTCAATCAAATTTCTACATAAATAAAAGATGAAAGAGCCATTATAAATGATATTTAGCGTAACAAAGGAAAGATTTAAATTTTATTTAACAACTGCATGTACCCGAAACAAAAGATAGGCGAACAGTTGTTAAACATGAAAATGAACCAACACCAGTGTAAGGAGAAGTAATGCTTTCTAACTTATATAAAAAAAATTTGATGGTGCAAACTAGTTCTGATTCGATAGTTCAAATGGATAAATAGAAAATAATTAGGGACTGAATTTTATCAAAACTGGGAGTAGTAGCATTTGCATAGCAACTAATTGGTTCTGAGTTTCGAGATAAAGAAGGAGCTTATCAATACTTGAATCCAAAATTTCAGAGGAGTTGTATACTGTTATACGAAACGAAGTTTACATCATTTAAGCTGTTTTGGTTTCTTATCAAAACTTTTTCTTCGAGTCTTCTAAGGGATCGGAGAGTTACATATTCGAGTAAAATTGAGGACGGAACTAGGGTGAAAAGTAGACTGCAAATAATACAACATTCAGCTTCCAAACTATTAATAAAAAGATGATCCATTGCAAGTCGGTGAATCACATGACATTTGCAGTGACTTTTCAAAATTAGCCAGGTATACGTTATAAGAAATACTAGCATGTGCCTCTTTCTGCCTAATAGTCATTAGTTTTTCCGAAATTGCCATTCATATTTCTTGTTGTAGTCATCATCATCGTAATCCTGGCAGAACAGATTATGCATAATTGTTCCTCTACACTGCATCATTTGTGTATGCACCAATGAAAGAACCATCCTCGTTGTATCCGTCAAGGTCATCGTCCCCTCCGAATGGGTCGTTGAATGAGTCATCGTCTAGGTCTAGGGGGCCAGTGCGTTTGTGTGGAGATATGAAGGGCAGTTTTGTCTCGTCCGGAACATACTCGTTGAACATGTTAGTCTCGTCTTTCCTCGGCAGGAACTCGATGTCCTTCGGCTTAAAGCGACTCTCATTCCTTTGCACTACAACACACCAACTCACTCAAAAACTCGCTCTACAAAATTTGAAATTAGTTTTAGAATACAAACTAGGAACGCTTAAAAGAATACAAAAATGGGATCAGTACATATGTAATTGGCCCTTTGTTTTGATCGGGTGGTGTTTTTTAAAGAAAGAAATTTGGATGGAAATCTCAAATTCGCTCTCAACTCTTCATATCTGTAATAAACCAGCTCAAATGCAAAAAAAAAATGATATTCACCCAAGGATCCTGTACAAATTTATACTTGAAAATAAGGAAAACATTATTAAAAAAATTTTGAAAATGAAATTGTGGCCTATCAAAATGGCGTCTGATTTAACTTACAATGTAAATTAACAAATCCTCATTAAAATCTTGATATGGTAATTTATGAGCTTCAAACTTGGCTCAGACAGATAACAAAACAGAAAAGATCAAAACAGATTCCTATTCAATTAGTCTCAACAGATTCAAATGAAAATGATCACATAGTGACGAATGGTTTCTTTCGATTGAAACTATCTAAAATAAGGAAACTCTGAATTGCAATATAACTTCAAATGCCAAGTGCAACAAAAAATGAAATACTTCATGTTTTTAAAGAACTACAACGATTACCACCCAAAGTTCTAATTAATGAGTTAAATAAACACACACGTTGCACACACGTAGTAGTCGGAAGAGGGGAGACCTACCAACTCTCTACATCAGTTCTGGTTGCCAAAGTCTTCTAGCATTTTTACTAATTTACGCAGGTCATCCTGGCCGACCAAACCCAAAAATTTTCTGAAGACGCCTTAGACGACGCCAATGCATATAAATTTTTCAAAAATCCGCAAAACTGCATTTTTCATTCCAAAAAATCAATTTTGCCAATATGGTTGGTCATTTGGGGGTTTCTGCTGAGCTCTTAAATTTCGAAACAGATTTTTTCAAAATCATCACCCTCCCTCGTGACAAAATTCTCGTGCACAACACTGCGTATAAATCAATTAAAGATACCTCTGTAGTTGTGGCTTCTGTTCTTGGCGTAGTAGATGCCAATGATCACTAAGAGAATGAGCAGGAGGAGGAGAAGCAAAAGAGCAAAGATGAGTCCAGCGCCTGCAGCCAGCACTCCATCCCCTCCTTCCAGGGCCGCCATCGCGGTGACTACAAAAGAACGCTCAACGTTCGAAAGATGGCTTTGTTTTTCAAAACATGTTACAGCCCTCGAAAATCAATTTTTACCAAAACTTGCATCAAATTATTCAAGCTTAAAGACCACAAGTATTTTTTGTTCCAGACTAAATAAAATCCCTTCAAAGATAAAGAACGGACAAATGACCTTTTACCAATTAATTTTTACTTGATCCCGAGCCAAAGCTTTGCATTTAGGCATGGGTTATGAAGTAGGTGTAATAGGGAGAGGACGCGGGCTTAGGTAGAGAAAAAAACCGGATGTTTATCTTTTTTTTATATAAAAAAAGTTCTTTCTATCGCTTGAATTTTACAAATCATGTCTGAAAAAACTTACAGTTGGCCTTGCACAGTTCGCTCTGTGAGGCAGCCGACCCGTACTTGTTTCTGGCTAACAACTTGACCATGTACACATATGGCTTTCTCTCCACTCCAGGGAAGCACTCCTGCTCATCAGTCACCTTCAGACCCTTGCATGACTCATTGTACTCTGCCTCAGTATCTACAAGTTCATAGGAGAAAAGTGTAGGCATAGCTTGAGAGAAAGTGTTAAAAACAATTAATGTTCTCATAGCAAAGGAACTAACAGGCCAAACTTTTCCGAATTGAATGCACAAAGTACGTTCAGCGGCGACAACTTGACAATTTAAAAATGCGATCACGCTGGAAAAATAGCTTATCGGAACTCTTGCTATAAAAAAGATAGCCAACAGATAGTTGGAAAAGAGCCAATGAACGCAAGTAAACAAAAAATACCTTCGAAGGAAAATAACTTTCGAAGAAAAAATAGATAGCGTAAATTTTTTGATTGACTAAAGAAGCCAAAATTACCATTTTTGGGGAAACCTTTAGCGCCGACATTCGCAAAAATGGTTATTTTGGTAAATTGTAAGCAACTTTGGTACTCATCATTGTTTGTCTAATCTCAGCACAAGTTGAAAAAAAGGCGTTTAAGTTTCAAGTTTTGTTCATTTTGTCCGGATAATTTAAATCAGCGCTATATAGGGGCGGAAATTCTTTAGTAATTACCATAGGTGATTTTGCCAAGTAGATCTATTTACCCAATGTGAGAAAACTGGATCAATATGTAAAATTTTCATTTCGCTAAAAAATCAAAAGTCAAAATCAAAAAGTCCAATAAATTCAATCCTTAACTTTTCCTGAAAAAAAGTAGAAAAAAATCATCACAACCTTTATAAGAATCTGAACTACGTTCATCGACTCTTAAATAATAGAACATTTTGAACACTCATGTCTGAATCTAATTGTTTTGATTTGACTCCAAAAACTATTAGTTTTGTCCCGCAATTTCAATGGTTAATTGTGCATTCAAAACATCTACATGTAAGCAACTAGAATAAGGATCATAACTATCGTACTGTGCACTTTGTAGATAACGGAATGAGTGGATGCGTAGTCTCCGAACTGCTCGTAGGTCCACTTGGCCGACAGACGAGTGGGGTCCAGAAAGCCACAGACCAACTCCTTTGGAGGCTGCGGGTTGCCAGGAGCTGAAAAAAAAATCGTTTAATCCAACATCACTCTCCGCAAATGACTGTTTTTTCTTCTCATTTATTGACCTCTAATGATTTCACCGATTCTCAAAAAAGCAATTGAGAGATCGCACGAAAATAGCCAATATCACGACGCCAAGCTTGGTTCAAACTGAGCACACTATTGCGCCAAGATTCTAAGCTCCACTACAACGGAATTTAAGGTTTTACCGGCACTTGTATATCGAATTCAAGCATGCGGTTCAAGCGAGCTCAATGAAACCTATAAAACTTTTGAAATTTTGCAGACATAAAAACAAATCCTCGATTGAATCTATCGGGGTGATGAAACAATACTCAGGAAAGGAAAATAATCAATAATTGTTTAACTTGTCAAAGCTCATAACCAATTTTTTTTGAAAGATACATATATACATAATACACATATATATATATAGATTTTAAAATTTTTCCAGTACAATATAATAACTACCTATATAAGTGTCTTCACTACGTTCATTGACTCTTAAAAACTGTCAGCTTTACGTTGAACACCTCTGATAACAGACAGTTGGAACATAGCCAACAGACACTTGGAAAAGAGACAATGAACGCAAATAAACAGAAAAAACTGCAACTTTCAAATTTCCAAGAAAAAAGCTCTTACAAAAAAGATGGCCTTCAATCTTTTTAAAATTTTAGAACAATTTACGTTTGGGTTTTTTGATAAAATTAACCTAATTTGAGAAAACTGGATCAATAGGTAAAACTTTTAGTTCACTGGGAAATTCGATAAATAAATGCCACAAGTACAACAAACAAATTTTAACAAGGGAATGAAGTGAACTTGAAAAGAAATCAAAAGTGAAATCGCTAAAAAATAAATTTGAGCCTGAACAACTTTATGACTTTTCCTGAACAAAAAATTATCGAGACCTGTAAAAGAGTCTGAACTACTTTCATCAATTCTTTAAAAAGTCAATGAAAAAAAAACAAAAAATCATTTGTCTTAATTGTAAACACTTCTTTAAAACTAATTCGCGTGAAAGCTCTTTGAATTCAAAGAATCTTTCATGACTCGCAATATTTTCAAAAAACTTGACACAATTTGAGATGAAGTTCACTTTTGAAACTAAAAATTATTCACGTTTCTTCACGCCATTTTCCTTTCGTAATTTGAGAGCACTATTTGCCTTCCTCTCAGCGATTGAATGTAAAACACCGAAAAAAATATCTTATTTCAGCGTGAGCAAATTTAAAGACTATCCTGAAAACAAAAAGAAACAAAACTCAGCACGACCTACATAGATGCCTTCACTACATTCATTAACACATCGCATTAAAGCTCTTCGAACTTCAAAAATCTTTTTTGAATGACACTTTTTGAGAAAAGTTACCCCAATCCAGACAGAGACGAAAGTGCATTTTGCAAACACAGGTTAAAAAACCGACAAAAGAGTTTAACAAAGATCGTACAAAATACGTCTGAAAAAAAATCTCTAATACTGAATACTAGGCAGCAAGGAAGCTAATACCAGGCAGCAGTTAAAAAACTGGATAAAACACCTATTAGGATAGTTTTTAATATGTTAGGCGGACGACTTTTCACAATTTGCAAAAAATTATAGCCGGTTTCGGTCAAGCATCATACATTTTTCGAAGCTATGCTACTGTTCTATTGTCTACGTTTTTTCACACAGAGGCGAAGCTTCGCTTGGCAAACACTTGCGAGAGCACGACAAAAAGCAGCTTTATAAATTTCAATAAGAAAAATAAGAAATAAGCCTCGAATTACTATAAAAAACTGTCTACGTCTGAGATTCGAACCTGCGACCTAGAGATTTAGAGTCTCAAACACCAACCACTCAGCCACGGACGCTTATTAGGCACCAAACACTAGCCACAAAAAACAGATGCTATGCAATTTCCAACGGTTCTGTCTATGCAAATTAAAAATATGTAGCTTAGGTGGCAAAAAAATGAACTGGTATGATTACGACATAACCGTATTTAAAAAAACATACGATCTAAATAAATGATAATTCACAACAATTAATACACAGAATATGACCGATAACGCCACTGGGAAAAACTGAATGCGGAAAACTTTGAGTCTAAAAAATTTCATAAGTGACGCACGCCAATTATGAGTCTACATAATTGCTAAGTGACGCAAGCCAATTATGACGCATTAGCAGTACCAGTCAATTTGAAAAAAAAAGAAACTTACCAACTTACATGCCTCAATTTAAAGAGCGGACGCATTTTAACTAGTATACAAAAAATTTCATCAAAAACATCTGACCCTGCCAAGGTTCGAACCCTCTTATTTTGCTGCTGGTCTCCTTTCCTACCTCTACGCTACAGATCCATGATGACTTAAAGCTAGTGCTATTGGTAATATAATAGTATGCGTTAATATCCTTAGCATTGGCTGTTGGCTGTACTTAATTGATCTTGGCTGTACTTTGGTTATTGATCTTATGCATATACTGTAATAAAAGAGCACTTTCAAAAAGAGCACTAATATTTGCGACTTAGGTTGGAAAAAAAGAGGGTTCGTTATATCACACAAGCTTTACTTGTGTAAACGTTTAACAATTGAACGCTCACTCTCTTCGTTTAGTCTCACTTTGAGAGCACATGATTAGATTGATCAATTAAATTAACTAATACAGTTTCTTCCCCTCGTAACCCAAATCCCACTACCGTACAATATAACAACATTACAGTTAACAGGGAGTTTTTTTACGATTTGCTAAAAGACAAATTGGGTTGTTTTGTTGCAAGTAAGTTCTTTTGTTGCAAAATATTAACTACGCTGGCTAGTGTAATAACTACGCTCGCAAGTGTAAAAACTCGCGTCAAGTGAAATATATTATTGATGAGAAGTAAGCAAGATCCATTAAGTTTATATTCTGCATTGGTTCCAATTGAGTTCATAAAAAATGGAGTTTAAAACAAAAAATTCAACTTACGAGTATCTACGGGTAGCTTGAAGGGGACTTGGGAAGGCGTGGGGTCGCTGGTGTACTCATGGTTCTTTGTGAACAGTTCGAACGGGTAGTCTGTCTCGGCCACTGGGTCCTTGTCAATTCCGTCGGGGAAGAAGATAGAAGTGGCGTCGAACTCCGTCTCCTTCGTTGTCTGATCTCCACCACCTGAATACACAAATAAAACTCAAGTTCTCTCAATTGATAACAGATATATTTCTATGCTTCCTCTATTGGTTTAAAATTTAAGAGTACCTCCATTGGTATTTCTTCTCTTCGGAGTTCTGACTTTATCTACTTTTTTACCCTATGCTTAACATTAATGATCCAAGACAAACTATCAGATTTCTCTAGGCCACGTCTTTCGCGTTCGAGTTTAATGACAGTTTTCTTGCTGTTTCAAACGAATACAACGTTAATAATGTACGCATAGCTCCTAGTTTAAGTCATTTTTACCCCTAAACATTGCTATCAATGAGATCAATTAGTTTACCAGGCAGTTTGTCGTTGAATTTGAGGAGGTAGTTGTCGAAATCCCCGTTCATGTCTTCCGGTTTCTTCCAGAATATGACCACTCCTTCGGGATGCACTTGAACCCTGACGGAATCGGGGTCAATTGCGTCAGGTGCTGAACAAAAAAATTTCACATACATAGTGAATATGGCTATAATAGTTAAGATGACAGCACACTTCCTATGAAAAGCAATTTTTAACTAAAAGCAATGCTACTGTTGATCTCACGACTTGCAGGAACTTATTGACTGTGAGTAGTGAATTTTTCAAAAACAACGAGGAGAAAATAGACTTCCTAGATAAAATTAGAAGATTGAAGCAGAAATCTCTGCTCCGTATGCAACTTTGGAACACAGTCAACAGACTGTTGGAAAAGAGTCAATGAACGCAGAAAACAGAAATACAGCCTTTTTTCTTGAAAAAATGTAATTTCCATGAAAAAAAATCTAGTTTCCAAGACGCCTATAGAGCTCATTGAATTTCTAGAACAACTCATGATTGACACTTTTAGATAAAACTAACCCAATTTGAGAAAACTGGATCACCAAGTAAAATTTTTCTTTCGCTGCGAAATCTGAAAATTGAATTCGATATGTTCATCGACTCTTATTAAAACTTGGCACTTTCTACCCTTTGTTTTTGGTACGAAGTGTGAACTAACGTCTTTCATGACCACCATGGTCATTGCACTATTATTAATCTTATTTTAAAAAAAAATCGGCACTCCATAATATTAAAGACTTGATTGAATTCAAAAACCCAATAATAGCGCATGTGAACATGACATACGTGCTGCTTTAGTCTGCCTCGGGATCTCCCCTGTGGAAGTGGAGGCCACTTCGTTCTTCACTACCAGTTCTGCTGTGTACTTCTTGTAGGGGGTGAGTCCGTCCACAGTCAGAGACAACTGCTCCCCAGGAGTGCCCTGGTCAGTGGAACTCTTCTTGCCAACAATCTCCCCAGCTTCGTCTCGGATGATCAACTGCAACAGAAAAACAGTTTCATTTAGTAGATATATGGAACAATGTTAATTGTTTTTTTAATGATTTGCGAGAATACAAGAAAATCTTTCAAATTGGAACCCAAGTATTCTATTTCATATCCTCTGCTTGCTGCAATGGGCAATTAGCAGTGGCATAGGTGAACAGTAGGTTAATTCAAAACAAAGCTGCAGGAAGAAGGAGTCAACGGATTTAAATCATCATCCATCATGGCATAGCATTGCAGAATATAGAAAATATAGAACACATCAACCTTTTTCCACTGCAAATCAAGAAGTCACTTCAAGTCATCATTAGTTATTAGATTGAATAACGCTCAGCAACTACTTGCATATCAGAAAAACAGTTCTCGTCAATATGCTTTAAGCTTGGCGTCCAAGATAGATGTATAAAATATTTTTGTTACATATCGGTAAGAGAAAAAAGAATTCAATTTAATATGCTCATTCTCATTCACATCATTAGCTGCATCGAAACTTAAATCACACAAATACAGTCCAGCAACTCGAACTGGAACTGACTCACTACTGATTACCCTAAACACCTGTTAAAAATTGTTGGGTCAAAAAGTCACAAAAGAAAACCCCTATTCATTTGACATTCTAGAGCAGAGTACAAAAATGTCGGACTCACAAGTTTCTAAGAAAGGAACTTAGCCGAACTCGATCACAAGGACTTACTTCGTACTCCTCGAACTTCCCGTGGATGTCTGCGTCGGACATGGCGTCGAAGTCGACAGTGATGCTCCTGGCGTCCTCGTCCTGTGCCTCTGCCAACTTAGGCTTAGCTGGAGGGGTCTGGTGGTTGTACCCTTCTGCTTCAGTAGGTTCAGTCTCACCCGCATCATTTGAGAACCAGACCTAAAAAGATTCTAGAATTATAATTTATATTAATTCAATCATCATGCTTCACGAACGAACATAATAATAAGTATTTTTCTAAATTTCAAAAATTTGAAAGCACTTAAAATAATAAATATATAAAATGCCTCAGCGTTTTGTTTACAACCTGGTCCGCGGGACAATTGTCTATTTTATGAAAAGTTGTCAAATTCCCGTTACTTCGATTTGCGCAAGCTAAAAACATATGTTTAATCCTATAAATTTTTCTGTCTTCAAGATTTTAATTCTAGATCTGAATTACTTTTTGAATTCTTATTGTTTGAATTTTATCGAGGACATGAAAGCTATTCATCAGAAAGTTCTGTAAAATACAACGCCACCTACCTTGACTTCGTGTTTGGTGTAGGGATCCATGTCGTCCCATCCGGTCTCAACTTCCGTCTTTGAGGGGTCCACGCAGTCTAGAGTCTCTGTTTTCTTCAGAAACTCAGGCGAAGTGGCCACTATCTCCACGTGCATACAGCATCCGTCCTTCTCGTAGCTCCCGAAGTCCTCCCTCGGATAAGGCTGAAACAATTCGAATAACTTTACACTAATAACATAACCATAAAAAGATCATATAATTTTGGTCTATGCAACCGAATATCTATTCAGCCCTATTACGACAAGTTCTAGCAAAACAAAAACTTAGACAACAACAGTTGAAAAAGAGTAATGAAAAAGTAATAAACGCAAAAAAAATTAACTAGTTTTTAGAAAAAATATCACCTTTCGAATTTCAAATAAAAAATAAATGACTCTAAAGCTCTTTAAATTTCCAGAACAATTTATTATTGGCACTTTTTTGATAAAATGAACCCAACTTGAGAAAACTGGATCAATCTGTAAAATTTTTATTACGCTGGGAAATCTGAAAATCAAATTCTACTTTCTAAATTGGAAGTCGATCATATGTTTATGACCTTTACACTTTTGCTGTTCGATAGTGGAGTTTGTTTTCCTTTAAAAATAGGAAATGAGCTGAGCTTAAATTCAAACAAACCGCAATAAAAAAAATTGAGCCTGAACGAATTTTACACTAGTGGGAACGCGACCAAAAAGCAGCTCTATCAAGTGAAATAAGAAAAAGAAGAAATAAGCCTCGAATCGGCAAAAACTCGGCTACGCCTAGGATACGAATCTACGGTCACGAATAAAGCGTCACGAATAAAGCGGCTACATATGCTAATAAATTGCCAATACGATTCAGCAACAGTAGTACCAAATACAAATAGACTCAATTTGGAATATAACAAACTGAAGGCATCCACACTAACTTTGCATGTAACAAATTGCAAAGCATAAAGCCACATTATGTATAAATAATGCATTTCAAAAATGCGAGATATATTGAGTTAGAAAATTTCTGAAATTGAGTTTTCATGATTGTTTTGTTTGAAAAAAATCCCTTTTTTCGGTTCATTTGATGAGTTCAACTGTGTTAGTTTATTACTAGTCGAATGTCAAAGCACATGCTATGAAAAATCTGTAAAGGTGATACAAAAGTAGCACCAAAAGTTTGCAACTTAGGTTGAAAAAAAGAAGGTCCGTAATAATACACTCGCTTCGCAAGTGTAAAAAGAGTAGAGACACTTTAAAGGCAATTCTTACATCCCAGGAGACGACCACTTTGCCTGAATCATCATCTGCAGGCTTGACAGCCACATTCTCCACCTTGGCAGTTGGTAGTGCATCGTCAGACACGTAGTCCACCTGGTTGGAGTTGTCACTCTTGCCGAACTTGTTCTTCGTGTAGACTCGGAAGAGGAACTTGCTGCCTGGGGGGAACTCGAACCACTCTTCTTCCTGGTAGTCCATAGTCAGCTCCGAAAGACTTATTTTGACATCAACCCATCCGTCCCGACCCTGTTAATAGTTCACTCAATTATCCAAGATGTAAGAGACAAAACATGCTATGTTCATTTCTTCAAAGAGAAACGATTTTTGTCCATGATTAAGATAATCTTTCATATTATACTTAAAATTCTGGAAACTAAATTCTGTTTCAACCTCATAGAAAACAATAGCTGATCATAAGACAGCAATTTAATCTTTCAATAGTAAAAATTTCTAAGAGCTTGTTTTTAAATATTTTGTCAAACTAATGACATTTGTATCTTTTTCCCTTTATTTATTAAATATTTTGAAAACGGGCAAGTCGTGTCTCAACGAGTATAACCAGTAGAATGTTCATAGCAGAAGATTTTCGTTATAGAATACAGGGAACATAAGTTAAAAGTTGGAGAGAATAACATGCTAACCCTTTCATCGTCAATTTTCTATAAAGCAGTATAGCTATTAATACCATTAAACGGGCACCAATGAATATGAAAATTCATAAATGCATCAATATGTATGAATGCACATCTGTACTTATTAGACTTTTATGCACATTTTAAGACTTTCCTAAAAAAAATCAGATCAATATAAGAGTCCTCACTACATTCATTATTCTTAAAAAGATATTAATCAAAATCAAGAATGGTGAATTTACAAATTACTGATTGAAGCCAACTAACTTTTAGTTCAGTCAAAAGGATAACTCACAAAAAAGTCAACGCTGTGACAGCTAAATTGGCAACAAACAAGCAGACAAACGATAGCATAAAAAACTTTCACACGAAAATTTTTGCAAAAAGAAACAGGTTCTGGCTGGATTCGAGCGCAGTACCTTTATTGACCCGGGCAGAGACAAAACTGCTGCTCCGCCAAGTATGCCGTGGAATTCGAAAACAAACCCAAACGGCAATTGACAATAACACCAAGAGACCGAAAAAATAATTGACTTTCTAAATTTCAATTACGCTGGACACTTAGTTGATAAAATAAACAGATCGCGATTCGAAATGCATATATGAATAGTGGCATTCATAAGTGCCCTACTATGTATGAACATGCGTCTGCACATTTTAGGGCATCTGAAAAAAAAATCAACACGACCTACCTATATAAGTGAAACTTCACTGCATTCAATGACGCTTAATAAAGTACACATCCGCAATTATTCACTTAGAAAGATTGTTTACCTGGAAAAATAGTTTAGATTCCGCTTTGATAACGCGCGCTTTTCGCAAGCGTTAACAGATCCAGTTTCGAAACTGAAGCCATTCACGTTTCGCACCAGTTGCACATTTGTAATTGGAGAGCGTAATTTGCCTTCTAATTTGCCTTTTAGCAAATTAATTTGAATTGAACTTGAAAAACAAAACCTCAAAAAGTCAAACTTGAAAGTGATCAGATTCTAAGACTTTCCCTGATAACAAACAGAAAACCACACGAACTTAACATGTTCCTGTTGAGAAAATTAATATATAAAATAAAATGGATTGAATTGTAGAATCTCGTTGCTCGTACCACTCTTTGCTGGGTAGTTCCGAGTATCTTCCACTCGATCTCATTGGCCTTCGTTTCTTGGAACACCTGTGCGTACTCCATCACATCCATGACGTCATAGTCACCCGACACTCTCTCACTCTGGTACTCAAATCGCCTTCTAGCCCCATCTAGGCTCAGGTCTTTCGGAGTTCCCGGTTTATCTGAAGTGAAATACAAAATAACTACGTGAAACTCACTATTTTGAAGCCCTTAATTAAAGAAATTTTAAACCAGTAAAAAACTTGTACATATTGAAGCACAGTACATTGTTTACACGTCTAAACGCGAGAGGAAAGGAGAAAAGACCTTCACACTGAAAATTATCTTTCAGAAAATGATCAAGTACCTTTGCACGAAAAAAACTATATTTTTAAAATCATTTTTCATGTTGTTTATGCAACGAGAATCGACTGGTTACCGCGACAAAACAAAACAAATTACAACTCGCAAAATTTAAGAAAAACGACAGCTGGCAAGTTTTCAAAATAATTGTAAAATTTATAATTTTGGTTTAAGATCCCCAGTGGGCTCGCCGTTTCGCGGCGATAACCGATTCTAAATTTCGTATTAAAACCTTCCCTCTGTTGGCAAGCTCGCAACACGTTGACAAGACTGCTGCGGTGAGTATTTTGCGGGTTGTCTTTTGATGCAAGTTGTCGTATTACTCGGCTGGTATCATTCTTGTGCTACTGCACACAAACCAGTTATTTCGTTGAACCTTATTTTTCCAATTCCTAAAAAGAGATATATCTCGACATTGGCGATTATAATCTATCCGTTTTTACAGCCTTTGCCAATTTGAATACTTTGGTTTTATGCCTTCATTGTAGCCACCTAAGAATGGTTTTCTCCCAAACTAGTTTGTGTCCGGTAACACGTCCCTGTCTGCTTAGCCACCATTTAAAAAGACTGTGCTTACTTCCGGATGCGACAGATACGTCTCTGCTGAGTGTTTGCAGCTCGTTTCCATTGGCGATAAGAGTTGCGTTGCAGAGGAACTTCCTCTCGCTGTCCTCTGAGGTCATGTACTTTAGGGTACTGATGCCATACCTGATCCCATTCTCCACAACCTCGCCTGTCTCTATTTTGTAGCCCTCATTACCTGCAAATACAACATGGGGTCACTTCTACTTTTCTTCACACTCAAACTGCGTTTGATGATTACATTTGCAACCAGGTCAGTTGGAAGGCACAATCTAATTGGGTCTTATTTGTTATCCGGCCAAAAATGTTAAGTGAGCTTCTGTTTGTGTAAAATAAAGTTCATATTTTATTTCGCAGTAATTTAATTCATTCAATCATTTGAGTATTATAATCTAATTCTGAAAACATCTTAACCATCTAATTTGGGCCCGCATAACAAACAAAATATGTCTAAGTTTACACAATCGACGTAAAGTAAATTTTGAAAAATTAATTAGACTCAGCTGTCTGTTGTCAAACATACCAGCAACATATTTTTCGCAGTATTTCTATGTCCACAATTAACGATAAGAAGCATATTTTTATCATTACAAATTCATTACTATTGATAGATGATTCAAACAGTTGATTCAAATTGTTAGATTCTAACATCTGGTTGGTGGGGCTGGGTTAAAAAGGACAGATCTAAAATGAATACAGGATTACAGGTTAACTTGAATACAGGATTACGATGAAATACTGTTAATGCAGAAATGGAATAAGAGTGATCTTATCTTTGCTTCCAGCCACTTGAGTGCCTATAGTCGTAACAACAGCCACATTATTCGTCAAAACTTATTTTCAAATTCGAGTAGTCTCAATTTTTCTAGGGCAAGTCAAAAAAATTTCTGCTTTTAAAACACATTAAAGATATCTTAATTTACTTACAATCAATTAATATTATTCCGGGTAACGCGTTTTATACGTCTTAAAAAAAGTTACCCATAGACTAAAGGGAAACTTGTTTTGTAAATTAACAAAAATGTTGTGTAAATTGTTTGTAAGTCTTGTTCTACCGTCAAAGATGAAGCTTCCGTCCTCAGCCAGCAGCCAAGTGAATTCAATATTTGCAGTTCTGGCGCCTGCTTTCTGCGTGGCAGCACAAATAGCCTTGGCCTCCTGTCCTGTGAAGGTGTTGTACTCGTTCTTCAAATCACCCTTCCACTCAAGAGGTTTGTGGGCGATCACTTTGAAGTTGTCCTCGGCTGTGTACTCTTGGCCTTCAATTTGATGTCTTCCAACTGCCTTCAGAGTATAGTTTGACTCAATCTCTCTAAAGGAAACCGATCATAGAAACACACAGCCTTCGAACATGGAGGTACTTCTATTGCTCCTCGTACGTGTAATGCATGATATCATCAGCCGACAAAAATTGATCAGGTATAAAATTGTTCAAAGAAGGCTTAAGATTTTTTGCTATAATCGGAGCAACTTTCCAAAGCATTTCATGTTTTAAGTTCTTCATTAAGCCACAAACAAAAAAAAAACAAAAACCTAAGTCCTGGCGTAATCATTGGCACTTACCTGAAGGTGAACATGAACACGACTGAAAATCGAACGGAGAAGCTATACTTCTGATCATCTTTCTCCACTTCTATTCCATCTATGTACCAGGTCACTTCTGGCACTGGAGATCCAAAGATAGTAGTCCTCAATATGAAGCCTTTCTCCCCCATCAATGCGTCCAGCCTTTGATTAGGCAACGGATTCACCTTGAGTTTCTGAGTGAAAACTGATATGGACACCTCTCTTCGGCTCTCAAAGGAGAGGAGTCTGTAATCCTGGAAATGGATCTTATCGAAGTCTTTTGTGAAGCCGACAGTCCTGAGGATTTGCTCCCTAGTCTGTGGCTCTGCACTGGCTGTTATTCTAAGCACTCCGGTGTCCTTCCCTTCTGACAGCCTCTCCGAGGTAATGTCAATGTTCCAATCGTTTCTACTCTCTTTGATCACAGACTTGATAGACAAATCTGTCGCCTCTTCTGTATTAACAAAAAATTAAACATGGAAGCCGCATTCATAATAATAAACAGTATCATACTGATTATTTAATATGAAAACAGCTGACCAAAGAAAAGAAGCAAAAAAATGGATAAATACCTCCCTTGGATAACTTGTACATAGCTACCTCCGCTATGAAAAACCTATTGAACACTTAAATACAAACAAATTCTAAAATATTTAACTTAGTAACTTATTTGTACATTTTATCATTAGAGGTATATCAGACATATTTTTTGGTTTTTGTGCAAAAACAAACAAACCAATTGGTGCGTTGTTCCACTGCAGCACAGGTTTATTCAATTCTAGGTATTTGGAGCTGACTGTGCATTTCTGATTCAGGTTTGATTTGGGTACCTCGATAATGAACACTTCGAAGTCACAATCCAGTTTGGGAGACCCTGAAAACAGACAATTATTTGAACATAGGAATCAATTGAGCAATCTCCCCCCCCCCCCCCATTCTCATGTTTATAAACACTTGAAAATAGTTTGAATGACATGAAATCATAAAACGTATTTTCCAACGAATGTGGGAAGCCAAAATTTACGATGAAAAAGCTCTAAAGTTTCATTTAGATTGAAAAAAGAATCAATAAAACAGGCATAAAAAGCGACTTTTTTCTTTCTTAAAATGACAAAAACTTTTTGCGAACAAAATTAAGGTTTAAGGTGCTGCGGAGAACCGTTTTTGCTATTCAGATACAAGTCTAGAGCACCAACCCTGGTAAATTGCTTTCTTCGATGAGGCTATGGTCGCCTAAACAAAATTTTGCAAAAAAAAAACAACATTTTTTTTTCATAAATTTCGATTTTTTTTTCAAAATTTTTCTCGATACTCATGTAAGATAAACTTCGTTCGGTCAATTGATTGCGTGCTTTAAACACATCATCTATCTACTTGCGTTTGCTGTTATCTTTTTGTAGAGTTTATTCGTTTTTGCTGGGGGGGAGATAGCTCAATTGGTCATTACGGGGGGGGGGGGGGGGGGGGAATCTGATAATTAATTTCCATTTTCGAAATTAAAAGTCGATCACATTTTTCGTGACCTTTAAAATTTTGCTGTTCGATAGTGGAGTTTGCCTTCCTTCAAACAATAAAAATAAACTGAACTTAAAAAGAAATCACAAGTCAAATTAAAAAATCGAAATCAAATTTTAACAAAAGCGTGAACAATTTTTAAGACTTTCCTGTAAAAAAACCAGCAAGACCTATACAAGAGTACTCACTACGTTCATTTTTCTTAAACACGCAGGCCGAGCAACTAAGCCGACCTATGACAAAAACAAATCGATCGACTCAGATCAGACTTCGTAACCAGTTAAATTCAAACTTATGCTCAATTTCCGGAAAATGGTTCAATGAGTCCTAAAATGGTTCAATGTGTCCTAACTCATTCTCATAACCAATCACTAAAAAAATATATTTTTTCAATTTAGTTACATGTTTTTATTAGCGGACTCACCTATAACCTTGATGGTCTGTGAGTACTCCACAGACGGGTCTTCTTCAAGATAACACGTGTATTTTCCTGCATCCTTCTCGGAAATGCTTTTGAACCACAATCCGTAATCGGTTCGGAACATACTGCCACCCTGATCATACGACACGTCAATTGCCTTTCCGTCCTTTTTGAACAGCACTTTAGTGTTCGATCTGGGAATACAGGTCACGAAGGATTCCACTCCTCGCACGAACACGTAATTCTTGTAAATATCGAAGAATCCTTCGTTTACTAAAGAAACAAAAAAAACGTGGGAAAAAAATTATAACTTTTATAATCGTTCCTAGTTACAGCCAAACTACTTTTTTTCATGATGAAGTCCAAGAAAAACAAATCATATGGTTATAGTATTTAACAAACGTTCTACTTTAAATATTAGGTATTCACCCAATTTGATGTGTTTTCTACTCGCCATGCAAAAGTCGATAGCCTTTATAGGCTAGTTAGACCACTTACAGAGTCTCATAAAAAATAGAGGCATCTTTAATCAACAGAAGTCAAAACTGTACCTCCTTGGAACGGTGCATTCAGTACTTTGATAGGCGCCTGACGGTATGCGAAAGTGGTCAAGGTGCCGTACTCCCGGAAGTTCAAAGTTGCCATGGACGAGTCCGTCGTTTTCGCATCGAGCACGTACAGGTCGAAGTTGGCTCCAATTACAAAGCGGCCATTTTTATTACTCATCGTCACTTTCGGCTGAAACAAATCACTAAAAATATATACAACGTCCATTTTGGAAGAAATTACTCAATATCAAGTAATTTTTCGGTATTTTCTTCCGGAATTACACACTATTCGCCATTTACTAGTCCTTTCGCTCCGAGGTTCCCACTAACGAGGTCGACAGCTGAATCTCGCCTCGTACAATAATCAGAAGTTGTGTTTTATCTTTTTTAGCTTTTTGACAAAAAACAGGCAAAAGCGGAGCTTCGCGCCACTTGCGATAAAGCAGAAAAAATCCAAGGCAGCAAGCCGTCTTATACATTAAACGGTCCGAAATCAAAACTTATGCATCTTGAAGTGAACTAAATTTTGGCCAACCAAATCAAGAAGCACGTTGTCAGGCCTTTTAGTAGCATTTCAAGTAATTTAAAATGCTGACAAAACCTTTTCTATATATAAAAAGCATTTCCAAAATGACAACCGAGTAATAAAGTTCATACTTATTGCTGCTCGTATTTAATTTAACTTCCACATTAATGAGCCAAAAGTGCCATTATTAATTGGAATTTTCCTCATAAGAGTGAAGAATTTTTGTAATAGTTTTTGCAAACGAAAAGTTTTTGTAGGTCGGAATTGTTGAGTTAAGTCCTTCTAATTGAACCGTTTAGTGCATAAGACCCGCTGGCCAAAAAATAGGACCAAAGCCCCCGCATACAAAAAATCGAAAAAAAAAACGATTGGATAATTTTTCATCTCAAATGCTGTCCAATTTAAGGAAAGATGTTGAGAAACACATTTGCCAGTGTTGAAACATAGCCAACTATCAGTTGGAAAAGAGTAATGAAAGCAAGGACACAGAAAAAAACGGACTTTTGAAAAAACTCAACTTTCGAATTTTTTTTAAAATTTTTAAATCAATTTGAGCATGAACAAATTTTGACATTTTCATGAAAAAAAAACACAAAAAAAATCTACGTTTATTGCTCTTAATTAAGTTTGTTTTTCAATTTGAACGCAGCATTCTATTATCAACGCCAAATGTCAAATAATATTGCAAAATTTGGCTACAAGCGACAATTACAAGCTTAGACCTCATGAACCTGCTTTAGCCCTAAGCAAAGTAAGAAGAGTCTGCAAGCTTTTAAAGTTCCATACTAAAGAAAGGTCAATTTCTTAGAGACATCAAATTAAAGTTGATTTTGGGAGAAAAAGTCTAGTTCTCGATTACATGTACTAATGCTCTCACAAGTGAAATAACACATCATTTGATTTAATTTTGACTTAAGCAATTTTTGACAAAGATAACTTGATTTCGAGAAAGAATCAGAATACATTAGATACTCAAACCACATCAACAATCAGGTAGCAGATTTCAAAAATAAAACAACACGCTTTTTTGTTTTTCTTATGAAAATGTATACAGTTGAACACAAAGGCATAGCGAAGCTTCGCATCACGAGCGATACAACACAAACGAAACATTACAAGCTAGCAGACAGAAAATGAGAAAACTTTGTCAAGAAAAAACTCGAAGAAATAATAACTACGAAAAAAAAATTGCATGAAGGAAAATACGTCCAAAAACACAATCGCCGGCGTTGAATAAGTATTCAGAAACATTTATAGAGCGGAACCTAAGCATAGCGAAGTTTTTAAAACTCCCGTTGAGCTGAAAACAAATTTGTTGTCATGAAAAACTTAATACAAAATCAGTTGAATCATTTGATATAAAAAAAATTCGAAACTAAATTTTTACACTCCCTTCACCAGTATCACACAAATGGTTAGAAAAAATACTTTTAATCGACAAGCTATCAAATTATTCAACTGATTTTGTTAACACTCCCTTTTTCTGAGCACTTCCAGATCCTTATTTTCACCAAATTTTCTGCTCCGCCGACAAATTTGTCGAGCAACAGGCCAAAAAAGTCGTTTTTAGGCACTTTTTGGAAAACTATGACCAAAAAATCGCGTTTTTTCCGCACACCCCACCCTTGAAATTAGTATACTTTGGCGCCAAAGTCGCGTTTAGAAAACTTTAAGGTCAGTCAGCCAAAAAAAGGACTTTTCAAAATAGTACAAAGGGGGGCCCTTTGGGTCGGCAGAAGGGCAAATCCCTGGGGGGGGGGGGGGGTGGTGGCATTTTCTTTCTTAAATCCGCTACTGGGCGTAAAAATAACAATAAAGATTTTTCCAAAACAACAAAGTGACCTATGGCCTAGATAACCGGCTGAAACAGCACATAGTTAAATTCAAATGATTTCATAGTGCTTTCTAAAACAATAATTGAAGAGGTTCTCTCCGTAAAGCCATGTTTAACTATTTATCTCAGTGATTAACCTATATCTTTTAAGGAACAATGAGCATCAATAAATTATCTCACTTTCAAAATTTCGGTGGCTTTAGTGTTGTCCCATTTGATGGAGTAGAAGGCGATCAGTGGTACATCATCATCACTCGGGGGATCCTTGGCCATTTCAAGTTGAACACTTTCTCCCGCCATTACTTCCGTCAATGGCAGATCTTCAAAGCGCTGTTTGATACCAGTCTTGTCAATGTGGCACTTGTTAGAAGTGGCCTTTCCATGTTCATTTTCTGCCTCACACCAGTAGTAGCCTGTTTTCAACCCCAATTTTTTTCAATTTAGAATAATTTGAACATAGCCAACAGACAATTGGGAAAGAACAAGGAAACCGAAAAAAAAGGAAACCGAAATATAATTTTTCAAATCATTTCCAACTTTCAAATTTCAAATCCTGTTTGTGACTGACCATTTTTTTCGTTAAGTTGTTTTGTTCAGTGAAAACTGGTTCAATAGGTACCACTGGTTTTTTCTCGCCATTTCCACGTTCGTATTTGGAGAGTGCTCTTTACGTCACTTTCAGCAGATTAATTTCCATTGAACTCAAAAAGTGCACATATACCTAAGTGCATTCATAAATGCATCAATATGTATGAATGCACATCTGTAGTTATTAGAGACTTTTCCTGAAAAAAAAAACAAAAAAAATCAGCAAGACCCATATAAGTCTTCACTAGGTTCATTACTCTTAAAAACAAACCTACGGGCTTCTACTTCTATATTTAAGGGCAAATTATTGGCAATATCGATGACTTTGAGCAATTTAATTGGTTACAAACAAAGCTTTGCATGTTACTTGGACACTGCTTTCACATCCTGAAATGGATTCAACATTGATTTTCGACGTAGACATGAGAAGTTGTTAATTAAAATGAGCAAAAAATAATTTTGACGTCAAAATGAGCAGTTATAGATTAATGAGCTTCCGTCAGACTAATAACCGAAAAAAACATTGTCAATACTTTGACATTAACGAGACAAAGGCGATAGAGGGATCAGTGAATCTACCTGTGATGGCAGTCCAGTCTTTGATGTCCGGATGGATGTAGAGACTGTCGTCCTCGAAATGGTACCGTGTGCTGCTGGCCGCCTCGTGACCTTCGTGAGTTAGTTCTTTCGCATCTGAGAGATCTTCATTGTGAGCGAACATCCAGGTGAAACTATAAAAAGTGACGATAAAACATTGCACTTGGTAGTGTTTTTTATAGAGAAATTTAGTCAAAAAGCTGGGCTGTTTACCGTAAAGGTGTAAAATAAACCCAACTAAAATCAGCAACAGAGACTTTAGAAAGAAAATATAAGCTTAAGATGTCTTATACAGACAAGATTTACTTGTGATGTGTAATCCCGACACTAAATATAGCCACAAAGTCTTTCAAAACTTTAACAGCAATACTATTATTAACCAGTCTTTTTTCACGTAAGGCCATCCATCCATCTAGCATCCACTCACAAAATTTCGATCGCCCTTTATCTTAAAACCTAACAGGTTCTTCCTACATGTTCTCAAGTTTCACTTTAATTATTATTAAACTAGGAGTGTGGTCCAAGCGTATATGGTACTAACAACGTGGTTTGCTTCAGTTGACTTATCAATTGTCCCGGTTCTCTTCAATCGAGTCACAAAAGAGGTGGATAAACAAGACGATCATTATCATTATCTTCATCGTCAACAGGGGAAGGGAAGGTGAATGGAACTCAATACATTTCTACTCACGTGACTGGGTGTGTGATTGAGCAGACGAGCAGCTCGCAAGCCAGTTTGAACTGCTTTCCATTGTACTCCAGGAGTCTCAAGTCCGGCAAGTCCAGCAGGGAGGGCGGGAAGGGGACGACGTTGTCTGAATCAGAACCAGAACAGAGATTTGGGAACTCAGTTTGGGAACTACTCTCACTTTGGTAAAATTTAACTGATAACATCATCATAATAATTGACAAAAAATGAGTCAAACACGCCATCATGTAAATTATAAAGTTTATAGGAACTAGGTTATTTAAAGGAATTCAATGGTCATCTAAACTCCGAATAACTTTCTGTAGAGAAAAGATATGAACTTCTACTTTCTGTAGAGAAAAGATATGAACTTCTAACTAGAGGTCTTGTTTAAGTTGAAGTAAGTAGGAAGCTTAGAAATTTAATTCAATTTTAGGGACCTTATGTTTGCAATTGATTGGATTATTTGAGCAGTTTCAAGTTAGATTGGGTTCTTAACCCAAGTACTTATAATGGGTTTGTGGGTATTTAGGTCGAAACCGATCAATAACTGCATGGCAAGAATAACTTGGCCAAATTTTCAAACAACTTAAACCAAATTAACTGTTTCGAGGCGCTTCGATTAGGAGCAGACTCCAATCGTATGATTGACTATATTTTTTTGAGTCTTCAGTCGAAATCTGGCCAGGTAAACTAATGAGTTTTGTTCATCTAACGTAGAGTAACAAACTTGAAAGCAGATTCTTTTTGAGTAATTCAAAAACTGCTTTGATATTAAATCGGAGCGCTGAAAACTTCTTTCAAGACAACATAAAACAAAAATTATGGGTCTGAAGCGATTCGTTACACGTTTGCTTCTTCAAACGCCTACTTTGGAGCCAGCAAAACAAAATGGCATTGATTTACGTCCAAACTTATCCTAAATTATGTTCTAATGTTTTCAATCGAGTCTGTTTGGTGAGAGGGATTTGAAACTTAAAACGAGAAAGTTTACCTCAACTTAAAACATAAATCTCAAAGAAAACGAACTGAAACTTCCACTTGCCGCAGATGAAACGAAAAAGGAATTATCAGCAAGTATTTGTCAAGTTTTCACAACCCATTCAACCTGAATAGCCATCTGAAGAGATCAAAACTTGCAACCCGACAGGTGCTATAAGAGAAAGAAAAGCTGGACGAACTATTCTTGGACTGGTATGTTTAACTAAAACCCATTTTAAGCAAACGGTTTCAGGTTAGTCAATTGAAACTAATCGGGCAGACAAATTACACGCAAATAGACCAACATTACAATGAACAGCAAACAGGTAAACTTAGGCTAATGGGTGATTAGAAAATTGATATCGCGGCAGATTATAATCTGTTTCGTTGGCCCTTTCTTTCATTAGCAGACATCTCGACAATATTTGTTAAAAGCAATTCCCTTCTGAGATTATTTATCCAAATATGCGGTTATTGGCGCCGACAGTTCACGGAACTAAACAGGACTTACCAACAGAGACTTCGGAAGCGCGGTAAGCAATCTAATTTAGACAATGACACACTTTTCTCCACTAAATGTTACTAAGCTTCAGTAAATATTACGGTTATTTTTGACCTTGCTTATCCTTCCAGTTATTTTAAAGTTCTCAAATTGTTTCTGCTAACCTCAGCGACGATTTTAATTTTAAATTTAACCAATTAGCAGGGCGATTATTCTACCCGGAACGATAACTTCTCTATTAATAATGAACAATTTTATAATTCTGATAATTTTTAAATTTTTTTAGTAATGTTTTAAGTCGAGATTAAGTCTCGCTATTGCTTAGCAATGAAAACAAAATCATCGCACCCAAGAGAAAAAATTGAAGGTAACTAATTCAACTTAACCAATGCTTGCTTACTCGTCTGTATTTGAAATCAACGAAAGTAAATTTTAAAGAACATGAGAATAATTTCGATTCATCAACAAAAGACTTTGATTTGACAGAATCCCGGGAGCTTTAAGCCATGGAATGAATTGATGCTCGGAAAATTACCCAATTTCAAAGTATTGTATGAAAACTCTTCAGCTGCGTGTCGCACATAAACTAATTTTAAGTAAAAAACTGCAGAGACAGGACTTGACAAGGTAAGCTTTCTTATTGCCTATAAAAACTTTCACCTTCCCTCGATAATTCGTAACAGTCGACAATTCGTAACAAGCGACAATTCGTAACAAAGCACTGGCAAGTAGGATACGCTTGCTCCTCTGCGCCTACGTCCGGAACGAGAGGAACACTGCTCATGAATCTTAATGCTTAATTTACTGTTACGAATTCTCGCCGGTTACAAATTGTCCTATCAAGGAATAATGCTACAGTAATGTGTATGTAATGTAAGATATAATTTTTCGAAAAACCAAACTGATTTGATTCTGATACGAAATTATTTGACCTAGAAGCACAATTAACACATGGTAATGCAACAGTTTGAAAAAGAAATCAGGCAACACGTATTAAAATTCAACCAACATCAATCGGGCACGATATCTGCTGTACCGACATTAAAATCGGCAAGCTATAAAAATGGTATTAAGTCATTTATAACTCAAAAAGTAACCAGATTAGAGACGATGCAACTCTTTTGGGAGCTTAAATGAACGGACAATAAAAGATTCTGGCTTGTCTTCCGCAGGTAAGCGTCCGAAACATTTGCACGGATATGAAAGTTGAACCTTGTGTTTTAAATTCTAAGGCACGTACACCAATCCGCCGAACATCAAAGGCTAAATCTTGGCTTAAGTTGATTACAAATGTAAAAGGTACCCAACAAAATTTAATAAAAATTCAGGAGAATAATTTTAGAAGGAACAAAAAATTATAGATTTTACTTTGATCTGTAGAATTGGGGTTCAACCATGAGGGCCGAATAACAATTACAATTTCCAATTCATTTGATAGGAATGATTGTTTAGATATGGATATTAAAGAAAAGACGGGGGCTGTCTACACTTTCGTTCGATTTCGCTCCAGATAAACCCAATATATCATCGAATATAGGGAAACCGTATCAGAAGTTACTATTGTTTCGATTGCAAGAAAGATCAACTGGCCATTGTTATTTTACGATTATGCTCATTTATAACTCAAATCAACAAAACATTCAGTTACTCTCAGACTATCTAACAATTTGCCGTATTTTTGAATTCGAACCACCCCCAATCAAAGAGCCTTCAATTCAGAATTCTTTTATTTCGAAGCAAGACAGCAGGGCTACTAAGCTCATGAACTGAAACACCGCCTGAAGGAAGACATTAGAGCGACTGGGACGCTAAGGAATCTTTCAGGAGAGCGTTTGGGGAGCTTACCCAAAATTGGTGAGAAAAAGCCCATTTAGCTTGGGAAAACGATTAAATAATTTTTTCAGATAGCCCACTTAGACCGGTTGCAAAAAAACGTAGTCAACAGACAGCTAGAAAAGAGTCAATTAACGGAACAAATAAACTTGTTTTTTTTTCGGCAAAAATCTCAAGTTTCGAATTTCAAAGAAAAAGATAGATGCCCTTAAAGCCTTTTGAATTTCTAGAACAATTTACGATTGGCACTTTTTCGATAAAATCAACCCAAGTTGAGAAAACTGAATCAATAAGCAAAACTTATATTTCGCGGGAAAACTAAAAATTAAATTCTACTTTCAAAACTAGAAATAGTTCATGTTTTTTTCGCGCCATAACCACGTTTGTATCTGGAGAGTCCTATTTACGTTATTTTCAGCAGATGATTTTTAATCGAATGGCAATGAAAAAACTCCAAAATCTGACCTTATTTGAGTAAAATAACTTTTACGGCTAAAATTGAGCATAAAGAAGCCATTACAAGCTTTATTCACACGAGTTTAGACTAAAAATCACAACTGGTACAACTTTTTGAAAATTTTGTCGTTTGAAGAGTGCTATTTACATAAATTTCAGCTGATGGTTTTCAATTCAAATGAACTTGAAAAGTGCATTTATATCTAACAGCATTAAAATGTATAAATGTACAACTATAGACTATATAAGAGTCTTCATAACGTTCATCACACTTACAAAAACTAAAATCCACCCGAATACAAACTTTCTCCTCACTTTCAATGGTTGCAACATTTACATAGATATGCGTGTCGTGAGCATCAAATCAACACTATGCAAACTCTATTTTTTTAAACAAACATGCAATTTAACTTTATTTACATTTTTATTGTTCCGGCCACTCTCGGAAGAGGGGCAGTACTATACCGCAGCGTGGTTTTACCAAACATTTTAGACATCCTCAAAAAACTCGACCTAGGTCAAGTGTAATCTCATAAAAAAAGCCTCTTAGTAGTGATTGCGACACTTGAAAGAAATTTCAAACAATCGCTTGGTGCTGGGAAAAGCCATTAGTGCTTCCCATGAAAATGGTAGAGAAATTCAGTGAAACTTCGATAAAAAACCATCTGACTGGGCATCAATTTGAAGTTGTCGGGTCCAGTTTTGGAAAATTTTAAATTTTAAGTCAGGTTTTTGGTGTGCAAAAATTTTACATCTGTGCTATTCCACTGCAGCCTGGTGTTCATTATTTATTTCCGAATATTTTTCAACAATTCATTCTCACTTACGTATTTTTCGGGCGAGCTAGCATACCTTTTTCATTTTCTCACTTTTTAAAAGTCAGCTTTCTCTAGTTATTAAGGCACAATGTATACGTGTAATAATTATCGCAACCCAAAGAAAGGCGACAATAATGCAAAAAAAAATAAAAAACAAGAATAGCCTGTTGCTGTGCAAGTAGCACCAAATTTCCCGAAACATTCCTAGAAAAGCTACAAAAACATTTTATTTTTAAAAAAATTAAAGTCGGTTTTTGTTCGTCGAGTGATGAAAGAACTTTACAAATGCGTAGAAACTAAGTGACTTCAACATAATAGACAACAGCTGCATTTCAAAAAAGAAAAAGAAACAAAAAAGGAAAAAATTATTTAAAAAAAACTTTCAGCATTCTACTTATCAGAATTTTTTTGCAGAATAATGTATAATTTTTCAAGAAAATTATCATAACCAAAAAAGCGCTAACTGAAGCTTAGAAAACTAATTTTACTGAAAATGAAATCAACATTTTTTTTAGCCTAATTGACTTATTTTGATATAACGAACGTTACTCTATCGAACCAAAAAAAATTCAAATAGGTTTGTCTCGACACTGGGACAACTTATTGGTTTTTTATGTTGTTCGAATATGACTGAAAAATCTTTAACATGTAAATCACTCGTTCTATTCTGATGATTATTTTAAAAAAGTCTAATTAGATTCCAATTTTGAGCTGTGTAAACCGCTGGAAAAACAATTATAAAAATAGATAGGATCAAGGAAAACAAAAAAATGCCAAATTCAATTAAGTTTTCAAATCAGTGAAACTGAAACACTTCAAAGCCTACGTCAACCTGGCGAAATCAAAGCCTCCCTTGAAATCAAAAGATCTAGTCTCATTGGTTTGATTAGTTTATAATTTTCCGCATAAAATAGGTAAGCCAAAATACATCGAATTTACGCCAGGATGGCAAGTAAACCAACATCGAAATTTATATGTTTAAACATAGCCAACAGACAGTTGTAAGTAGGTGTAAAAGAGCCAACAAACGCAGGCTAACAGAAAAAAATACTGAATTATTACTAAAAAAACTTCAATGTTCGAATTTCAAAACCAAAAATAAATGGCCTTAAAGCTGTTTTTGAAATTATGATTGGCACAATTGTTTGATAAATTAACATAATTTGAGAAAACTTGATGAATAGGTGAAGCTTTTAATCCGCAGCAAAATCTGAAAAATTAATTTAAGTTTCGAAATTAGGAGTCGATCACGTTTTCCGTGACCTTTACACTTCTGCTGTTCGATAGTGGAGTTTGCCTTCCTTTTAACAAAAGAAATGAACCGAACTTGAAAATTAGTCAGTCAAACCGCAAAAAAATGAAATTTAGCGTGAAAAAGTTTTAAGACTTTTCCTGAAAAAACGGGAACAAAATCATCACAGCCTATGTAAGATTCCATCGACTCTAAAAAATCTGTCAACATTTAATCGTCAGGCAGTTATTGCTAACTCCTCAATTAAGTTTCATAAGCAATAACAAAAAAACACCATTACTTAATAAAATCAGAAAACAAACTTTACAGAAGCGAAACAGCGGAATTTCGCATCACTTGCGGTACAATGCAAGCACAGCATTGCAAGAAGCTAGCGAATAAAAATGAAACAGAAATAAAAATGAAAAAAAAAACACTGAGAAAAATTGAAACAAACTTCAGAAAAATAGCCAAGAAACACAATTAACAGCTATCTAATCTTTATTTTTTTAAAAGCCAAGATTGCGATCTTTAAGCCAAAAACAGCCGCTCAAAGATTTTCATTGAGCCGAAAACAGTTTAACCATAAGAAAATCTTGACGAAAACTTTTGAACAATCAAGTTTTAAGACTTTGAACTTTTGCGAGCCAAACTATTGATTTTTTAACCAATCATTTTTTGCCCTTGAAGCTACAGAAAGCAAAGTAACTAAGCTGATAAAACGTATTCCGAAATTTTTAGGACGAATGAAGCTTTAAAGCAAAACAAAATGTACAAATTCAGGGCTATTATTTTTATAAGCTACGTACATCAAGAACATTTGCATCTGCTACTAAAACTTCTGGCTGCACTACAAAATTCAACAATGTGGCAACTAAGCCGACAAAACATAAGCAGACAAACATAGGACTGACAATTCAATTTTTTCCGGAAAATTTTTTAAATTTCATAAATACTGAAAAAAAAACACGGTCTATTTGGGACTCGAACCCTAGACATTAGGGTACAGAGACAACCGCGTTACATTAAGGCCAAATGAAAAGCAGTCTCGATAGTCCCAATGTTCACAAGAAGTACCTTCAATTTCAACTTCAGATTTAAGAAAAGTTGTTTACGGGAAATAGTTCCCGATTACAAGGCATTTACTTTCGCAAGTGTGAAAATTAGGAACAACTTCTTGAAGAAAAAAAATTGAAAACGTTTAGAAACGAGAAATAAAAAATCAATGTTAAGCTCTGAATCCTAATAAGTTGCCCTTAGAATCGAAAATAAAATTTGTGCCGCCCACAGGATTTGAACCAATTCTAGAACTGAAAAAGTCAGGAGACCTACTCTTAAACCATTGCTATCGGCAGTGCAAAAAATATCATTGTAAGATAAACTGCAGTTTAAAAACACCAAAACCACAAAAGGAAACTGAAGGATCGCGATCGCCGTCAAAAGTAGTCTACTGTCACCTAATTGTGAAAAAAAATATTACTTAAGATATTGCGAATTTCTGATGAGATATACAATAGCCTGAGATATAAAAATGCTATTGCTATCACAAACATCTCAGGGCGAGATATTGGATAAAAAACGAGACCAAAACCCCAAAGTTTAAAACATTTTGAAAGAATTGCAGAAAAACTAGCTATGCCGAAAAACTAGTTAAACCAAAATTTTCAAATTGCTTCGAATGAAATTCATTTTGTAAGGAAAAACATATCGAGAAAGACAATGAACAGAGTTAAAACATAGCCAACAGACAAAATGCGCTCTTTAAAACTCAAGAACAATTGAAGATTGGTAGTTTTTTGATTAACCCACTTTGAGAAAACTGGATCAATAGGTTAAAAAAATTTTTTTTGCAGGGAAATCTGGTAATAAAATTCCATTTTTGAAATTAAAGTCGATCACGGTTTTGGCGACCTTTACACTTTCGCGGCTCGATACTGGAGTTTGCTTTCTTTTTAACGAAGGAAATGAACTGAATTTTCCAGAAAAAAAAAATAAACATAGCCAACAGACAGTTGGTACAGAGTAATGAACGCAAGGAAATAAAAAAACTAACTTGTTTTTCTAAAAAAAACTCCAACTTTCGAATTTCGAAGAAAAATCATATGGCCTTTAAGCTCATTGGGTACTCGTTTAGAAGTATGGTCTCGTTAAAAACATCGTTTGGAAGTATGCTCGCTTTAAAAACCTCGTTTCGAAGTATGGTCTAGTAAAACTATCCATGGTTCCATTAAAAATAAGAAAAAGAAGTTTTTAAAGGTAGTGATTTGCTTTTTTGATAATTCTATTTCAAAAAAAAACATAAATGGCAAATCAAATCGAGAAATGTTTTCAAGTTTTCATTTTATTTTCGTCCATTTGAAGTACTGGGTCACTTTTCTTAACGAGTACCGCTCTTTGAATTTTGATACTTGCTTAATAATTTTTTGATAAAATTAACCCAATTTGAGTAAAGTAGATCAAAAGGCATAAAAATTTGATTTCGCTGGGAAATCTGATCATAAAAATCCATTTAAAAATTAGAAGTCGATCACGTTTTTCGTGAATTTTACGATTTGACTGTTTGCTAAGAGTTTGCAATTAGTTTGAAAATTAGCAATTAGCTGCGACTCACCTTCGTTGTAGTCACAGGCGGCCTGTACTTCAGGGACAGTGATCGTGATGAAGAGGAGACAGAGTGGGAAAAACATAGAGAGGGGTTTGGACTGATGATCCATCACAAAAACATGCAATGAATAGAACAGTTCGGTAGTTCAGCTCGATGCCCAAGTCAGAATCGTATTCATCAGGTTGTTCACACAATAATCAGGTAAATGATCAGTTTCCACTTCTGAAACAGTAATTGATTTAACTTTGTTCACGGTATAATGGTTCAAAAATTTCGATAAGGGCTGAACAATTGTAGAATAACGTGCATGTCGAAAATGCAAAACCATTCACTTTTTATATACAAGTGTTAAATGTTCAAAACTAACAGAGAAGAATAAACAACAAATAGCCTCGAGAATTAAATACTTATATCAGCCTTTCAATTCAATAAAATCAAAGAATTTAGTACGAATACTAGTTTGGCCAAAGAATATGGGTACACAGATAGTCATGAACTGCTATTTTACCCGATTGGTACTACTACTTATGGTGCAATTGATAATCATGAAAGAACAGAATACTAGGCTATACGCAACTAGCATGGCAGATTTGTTAGTAGACTGGTGAATTAACAGGTATTCTCAGGGTAATTCTGTCACACGCACGCTAGGACCTACTTTCAGAATACCAAAAGATTGAAAAGATCCCGAACGCCTTCGTAAGGTTCATACCGCTCAAAGTATATTTATATCTGCGATTCCATATACAGTAGAACTTACTTGGAGCACTTTGAGAACGTCCAGAATGGACCTCGAAGATAACATAAAGTCTACAACTAAGCAAACATGAGCACGGGCAGACAAATTTAACTAGAGCGGCTGAAATCGTCAAAAAGCTAAATAAAACTCAGTTTGTTTGTCTGTTTTGAATTGAAAAGTCATGTTTCAACTGACTATACGAAAAAGACGAACCATTTAAGCGTTAGCTTAACCCTCAGTTTAAATGAGAGACGAAATCGGAGAAAAAAGGCAAAACTGAACTGGGTGTTAAAGAGAACAGAAATAATACCACAATGTAACACAAAATTGCTATTCCAAAGTCAATGATAGTTGAGCCATCAACAATCACTGCTTGCTAAATCTTAACAGAGCCTTCTAAAAGACTTCAGCCGTTTACTAAGCTTTAATTCGCGAAATAAAGCAAAAGCTGCAAATAGAAACTCTTAAAACAAGTAAGAAAAAACTCTCAAAGAAAAACAAAAACGACCGGAAAAAAGCCTTGAAAAGGCATTAGTTCATCCCACAGGATTTTAAGCATCCACATTCTAATTACAAGTCACTTTCCGAGACCTCTGCTCCATGGGTCCTACTTCAATCTTTAATTCAAACAGTATTGTACGTACATTCATGAAGCGGATATCGCTAATGGCATTGAAAACCCCACAAATAAATTTAAGTTTTCACGCCAACTTAACACAGCAAACTAACGGCAGAAATGCGCAACCTCCATTGGACACTTCTTATAACAACAGCGCTCTAACTTTTGAAATCATAAACAATCAAAAGTAGATAAAATTTATGGGACGAAGTTTTTACACTGAGGCGAAGTGAAGCTGCGCACCATTTGCGCTAATCGAGACAAAAATCTGCGCAAAAAAACTTAGCGTAAAATTCATAAAATTAGAAAAGCCAAAATTATCCTAGGCTCATCGCGACTGAGGTCCAGTTGGAGGAAACGTACTAGCAGTGAAAGCCGATTTCCTGGGTTAAATAAGCATTGAAAGAAAATTTACAGAGCGGTAACTCAGCTGGCAATGCTTGAGTAGGCTTGTTCTCCGAAAACACACATTCAAACAATATTTTGCCATGAAAGAAAAAAAAACATGTATCCAAGCCAAATATTTTTTTATGCTCAAAAACAAAGCCTACAAAATTTTAGTGGGAAGAAGCAAATCAACATAGAAAACTAATCGTCAAATGGAATAGTTATTTATTTATAAATGCAAGTATGCTCAAAAAATGTTTGCGGCTGAAGCCTCCGAGAGAGTTGACAGTTGACAACTTGGTTCAGTGATTCTGTAAGCTCACCTGGAAAAAAGTACTTCTATTCGATACGGATTGCCAATCGCAAAGGTGACAACAATGCGGAATAAACTTTCATTTTTGAATTTAACCAAATTAATTATTTCTAATTTTTGGCTCATCACTCTGGTAATAAACTGTCTGATAAATGAGCAACCTCCATTGTGCAAGGGTTCTAACAAAAGCGCTCCAAGTTTAAAAAAAAAACAACATATATCAAAAAAAAAACTTTCAGAAGCATCAACAATCAAAAGCAGATGAAAACTATTACACAGAGGCAAAGTAAGGCTTCGCACAACTTGTGATAATGGAGACGGAACCTATGTCAAAATTATTGGAAAAAAAGCACTATTTAAAAAAACCGAAACTATCAGAGTTTCAATGCGAATGATGTCCAATTGGAGAAACATGTTGTGAAAGACAATTCTTAAATAAGCACTGAAAACAATATTAACTAAGCGGTCACTGAACTGGCAATGGTTGGGTGGACTTGTTCCCCGAAAACACAAATACAAACAACATTTTTGTCATGAGAAAAAAACAGATGTATGGAAGCAGAATACTTCTTATGCTTACAAAAATGAGTCAGAAAAAGCTAATCAATTAATTTCAATGGAATAGTTATTTGAAATGCAAACACAGTGACTTCAGTGCAGCGTAGAAACCTGTTATAGGGTATTGAGCAATTACTACTAAGCAGGGTGCGGACGCAAGGTGGATAATAGTCGCCAATAAGGATGTGAACTGCGTGAGCTGGTAAAGCTGTTTAGGGAAAATATAGAAACTACCGGGTACAAGTCAAATTGTGTTAAGCAGTTTGAATGCGTCGAGGTTCTTATTATTACTTAAAATCTGAATCTTGTTTACAGCTACCGAAAATACAAATTTAAAATAATCTGGTATTTCGAAAGGACCGCCAAAAACAACAAAATTGACCATTTTTGGAAGTTCTTCAAGTACAAAAAAAATAATTTCTGTTTTTTTCAATGATTTTGACACAGAGGCGAAGCGAAACACTAGTGAGAAGAACGACAAAAAGCTCTACAAAAAGCAATAAGAAACATAGCAAAAAACTTCGAATTAGTTAGAAAAAAAATCGGCTAGGTCTCGGATTTGCTCTGCGACCTACTGCGATCTGGAGATTATGATTCTCACGCACTAAACACTCAGCCATGCACGCTTAATACCTAACTAATCTACGTTTACTCAGATTATGATTCGATCATATTTTTGATCATAAATTGAGGGTTCCTTTTAATTTGCATGGGATATTATGAAACGAGCGTTTTACTTACATGGGACTTTTTGTAACTGTATCTTTTGCAGTAGGTGATTTTGGCACTGAATGAGTAAAACTTTTAGCATACAAAAATTCTTAAGTGACGCACGCCAATTACGAGTCTACATAATTGCTAAGAGACGCAAGCCAATTATGCGGCATCAGCAGTACCAGTAAATTTGAAAAAGATATTTACCAACAAACAAGCCTCAATTTATAGAGCGGACGCAATTTAACTAGTAACGAAAAAGTTCATTAAAAACAATCGACCCTGCCCAGGTTCAAACCCTCTTCTTTTGTCGCGGTTCTCCTTCCCTACCTCTACGCTACAGATCATGATACCTTGAATCTAAAGTGCTATTTGTAATATTATAATCAGTGTTAATATCCTTAGCATTGGCTGTACTTAATAGCTGGTTACTGATCAAAACGAACACTTTGAAAATGAACAGTTTGTCGAAACAATATTTGCGTCGCAACAATATTTGCGACTTAGGTTGGAAAATAAAAGAAAGTTCATACTATCACACAAGCTTTGCTTGTGTAAATAATCTTAAATCATTCAGAAACAATTCTCAAAAAACCTCGGAAAGATGAAATATATCGTTAACAATAAAAACACAATTTTTGATAACAAAAAATTTGGTAACTCTTTCACAGATAGGCTGAATTACAACCAATATACTTAAAAATCAAGTGGGTTTAAAAATCAGGATAATCAAAATACAAGACGCAAAATACGACACTCAAAAATGAAAATGAAATACTCAAAATAAACTCTCCGGGCATCTGTTGCAGACACACTGTAATCAAACTGATGAGCCAACCCTGTTTAAGCTATCTTAGATCACGGGTTGAATTCACAAACGCGGAAAAACCTGGTCTGAAAAAACTGCACCAGGAAAATTGCCTACTCTGAGAACTGTTAATGTCAAATCATTTTGTTTAAAAATTATGAACTCCCAAATGATTAATAATGTTGAATTTTCAAGTTTCAACTTACCCTTAGAAAAATATCCTCCACTTAATAAGCTCAGTAATCAACATTGCACAAACGCAGTAAAAATGAGGATAAAAACAGCAACACAGTAAGGGCTAAGCGCGTGTAAAGTTAGAAGAAGGGTAAAAAGACCTTCATGTAAATTTTGCTCCAACACAGACGGCTGTTTGATGGTCAATCTACGCTTTTTACAATGGCAGGATATAAAATGAGTGAATTTTAGATTTCACGCTTGCAGGAGAATTCAAATCGAACGTGATGTAACTGAAATAAAACGCTACAAAAATAACTGGAATAAAAACTTAACGCACCAGCTCCATATCAAATATTGAAAAAAGAATAGGAAAAAAATTGATAAAAGAAAAGCTTTACAATGAAAAAAATATATATTAAAAATTATTGCAGACTATTATTGATAGTAAAAAACGCCTCAAACTGCCATCGGCCTAGTATTTAATCTAAAATGTAATTCTAGTTTAGTTCAGATTATCTCTGTCAGTTTTAAAACATAATTGAATTCAGTCTGTGTCATACGCATTTGTATGCATAAAAAACTGCGCACCAATTCAAAAAGTGTGAAGTCTAATATAAATGCCAATTTGGCTTGTCGGTTCGAAAAACGCTCGGTCGAGACTCAAACGAATCGTTGGTATTCACTGAACGTTTCTTTAAGAGAGCTCTTATAGATATCTGGCATCCTTTTGACTTTCACAAAGGATTTCAATATTTGTTTCAAAAGTTAAATTATCACGGAATTCATTTTTATGATTAAAAAAAATGACAAGTTAGCTCCCATTTAGATCTTTTTTACATCCCTTTTAAACAGTTGACCTGTGAGCACCAGCTAGTGCTCAAGTTTAGGATAACAGCCCTCGCCAAAAAGAAAGAAGCTCATGCAATTTTTCAGTCAAACCTTTCCAAAGACGTCTTAAGCGAACATTTTTCGAAATTTCTACCGCAATGTAACAAAAAAAGATCCAACAAAAATAATTATTGATTTGATGTACCAACCTTAGTTTAAAGGCAACTAATCACGATTACAACTGAGTTCTACTAACCTTTATCTTTTGTTGTTTCAAGTTACTTTGTTCCAGATGAAGTCAGAAGTAAGGACAGTCAGCAAATGTCAAGTAGCCGCAACTTAATCCTTCAAAGTCTGTCAACGCTACAGTCGTATTGTAACCAACCAGAAAATAACTCCAGTGGGACTTGAAATGAATGAGAGGAACTGAATCGGGGATGAAATCTGCTCAGAGTTTGAGATAATGAGACACTAGACACAGATAACACCAGCAGAGCAACGATGGAGATAATTAGTGGAATGGAAATTCTTTTTCAAAGATCTTCCCTTTTTAACATTTACTATATCTGAAATTTAAAAGGGCAGTGAGAAAAAGCAGCAATTTATTATAGAAAACAAATCAGCAACCAGTCTCCTCTAAATTTATTTTCAATGGTGCTATTTTCGCTTTTTAGTGTTTGAAAAAATGAAAACACGGTGCTACTGTAGTTGGCTATTTGACAATGAAATATTTAAAGCAACATTGCGAGTTAGAGCTTTTTGATCACAGCGCAATGATAGTGATCAAAAATATCTAATTGAATGGCGCTGCATAAGTTAAACAAACCATGGATTTGACTGACCGTTAGGGAAATTTTCAACGAAAAGCGTACTTGAAATGCTGCAAAACATAACCATGTTATTATACCAGGTATGGTAAAATAAGGCCAAATAGAAAAAAAAACAGACACGTAAGTATAGCTAACTTATTTTTTTTCATTTCCTTTCTTCTCCCATAACACAGTATATAATACGGGTGATATTTTAGAGGGTTTCTAATAACGAGGACAAATAATCGTATTATCACCCCCTCAAAAGTTATTATCACCCCCTCTATAATCAATCAATGATACCAGCCTTGCAGCCCGATTTTTTTTTTGAGACTAGTCGAAAATTTTTCAGATGAATTTTTAAAATCAATAATAAAGGAGCGGTTGACTGACATTGCGCATTTTAATGATTAAACCGAAAATCCAGAACATCAAATTATATTTCCTCCTGACATTTTGGTCCTCCCTGTCAATTCGAATTCAAGAAGACACCATAAAAATAGATAGAAAATCAAAGACTGCGGAGGCTGGGAAAATGAGAACTAACTGACCACAACAAAAGTTCGATCTAGTTTGAAATAAAGCCATCTGAACAAAAATGAGCTATACCAAAACTACTCAGTTGTAGGGAAGCTTTTAAGTACCAACTCAGCCTCATTTTCCTTCTGCGACGTTCATAACTTGAGACACATTTTTTCTTAACAATTTATGCTGCGCAACTTTGTTGTTCTTGCTCCAAGCGCTGAACAATGTCATGGCAACTACAAGAAAAAAGTTTATGTTTTGTAGCCCGTTCACTGAAGATTTTCACGCTCTTTCCAAGTTTCAAATAGTTTTTTAACACGCTTTTAAAATAATTTTTGAAGCTGATCTGTAAAAATAGATGCAAAAATGGAGCCAAACTCAATTCTAATTTAAAAGCGGATTAAACTCTTGCACAAAAATAGTATCTATTGATCAAACTTGCTCCGATAGGATTATTTTATTTACCAAGTCAATTATAAGTATCAGCAAGTATCACAGAAAAATCTGACCAAATAGATTTCAGAAAATAAAGTCAAAAACAGAGTATTTTCTAAATCGAAACAAAAACTTATATTATTTTTGATTTTTTTGCCTACATTTCCTACTATATTTCTTTTCTGGAAAATTAGAGTAAAAAAGCAAGAAGGAGCAGTAACTCTATTTTGAAAATTCCTAGAAGATAGTGCTAAAATTCTGGTAGAATTAAATTTGGGATGTAAGGCTCTCAGCCACCTTCGTCTAACTTAGTTTGAAAATCGAAAATGTTCAGACCGATTTTCCTAGACACTGAAACGAATTATTATAAGTTTATTAAGAATCCAAATGACGACCAATAAGATTAAAAAGATACCACATTTGACCCCTCTCAGCTTTTCTTGAGGCAGTCAAAATTGGTCGAAATATTTGAAAAAAAAAACCAACATGAACTAGTCGGAACAAAAACGCCTTGATCAAATGAACTTTCCGCTTCGTGTTGATGCCAAGCTCAGGCAACATAGACCTGTAGCTGTGCAGGTAGCACAAAACGCTCTGACCACAGTTTTTAAAACTACAAAAAATCTCCTCATGAAAATAAGGTCAAAAATGGTTGAAAAAAGCTCCTTTTACCAGTCTGATGGCATGGAATGTTTCAATTCATGTCTAATTTTTTAACGAATAGTTAACATCGTGAATTTCCGGGTTAAAAAAATTCCGACTGAACATTTTTTGACCACGCAGATTTGAGCTTTATTTGCAATAAATTGCGCCAATCAAAAATAACTTTCGATTTATGTGGTCGTTTTCTGCTCGTAGATTTTCTGTACCCAGTCCTTGAAATGCCAATGTGTTTCGTAAAGAACTCAGAAACATTTTTGCAATTAATTTTGTGAGAATTTTTAAAGTCTTTTAAGGCTTAAATTGAAGTCTTTTGGTCTTGCTGCTATTACTACTTATATTCCAAGAACAGTTTTTGTCAGTCTTATCCTACTCAAAAAAAACCTGGAAATTTTTAGGAAACAAAATAGGTTAAAAAAGTCTAAAAACCACAAGATTAAATCCGACACCCATTCAGCTGCAAGTCGACCAAAAATGTGTTTCAAGAACATCAACCTTAATTTTAGCTCTAGTCCGAAGAGTCAGTGCCCACAAACCGTAATTTTCTACCGTGTGTTCTTAATCTACATTAATGATATGCCAAAAGCCTGTAAACATACAAGTGTTTCTATTTGCCGATGATAGCAAAATAAGTGCATTAAGCTGTACTGTAACCGATATAAAATCAGACTTATTAAAATTAAATAATTGGTTAAACGCAAATAAACTTGTATTGAATATTGACAAGAATGTACAAATAAATATAGGAAACAGTGCTTCCAATCAATATAAAATGGAAAATTTAACACTTAAAACTGAACCCCTCTGTAAATATTTGTTCTAATAGATTCAAAATTATCTTTTCAAGGTCAAATTCAACTTGTTTCCAAAGAAACTGGCTCGTAAGTGGTACAATTTGTGAGCTTCCTCAGTTTGTACCTAGAGGTTAGCTGATTAGCTATTATAAGTCGAATAATAAACCCATTATCCAACATGGAATTCTCAGTTACGGTTGCTGTAGTTACACTTCACTCAAAAAAAATAATTTAACAGAAAAAAAAACTTAAATTCAATTACTTCCGCAAACGGCGTGACGCTTCGGAAGACATTTTCATATCGAACAAAATTTCAACCGTTTTTGAATTACTTGCAGAGCTACCAAGCAATACAGAGCAATAACCTGATTTCAAATGACTTGCTGCCCTGTAATCCTTTAGAATTATCAGAAAACTCTATTTTACAGTTGGTGCACAATTTTCGTGATAATTATCTTCTTAATAACAATGAATTATTTATATTTATTTATTCCTAACTGATCATAGCCCGGAGGTAACACCCTAAACTACAAACCAGGGGGCATGGGTTATTCAGGGAAAAGGCCTGTCTAAGGGGTGGGTACCCGATGAAAAGTGGATGGTGGGGCGGAAAAAAGATCGGGCTAGATGAAATAAAAAGGGAAAAAGAAAAATAATTGAATTTCGATTTAAATTATTTTGATTTTCTTCATTTAGGAAGGCATGTTGCTCTAGTGGTAACAAACGTGACTTTCGTTCCGATACAGGGCGTTCAATTCCAGTAGCTGCCTTTTATTTTTGGCGTGGCCAAATTTCATTAATTTAGTAATTTTTATGATTCAGTATAAAACCATAACTATGGTAAAATTCCGAGTAAATTTCAAGGTTAGACATAGAGCAGATCAGCTGATCTCTTTATCTACCCTCTCCAATGGTTTTGCACCATCAGTATTTTGTTATATAATTTGCACTCTTGGATAAATTAATTCTTCTTCTTGAAAACCTATAATCAAAAAACATCTTAACCGAGGAATTACTCCATCCCACAAGGACAAATGGGCTGCGAAAGAGCCTCTAATTTCTCAAATTTTAGATCAATTGAGCAATTTCCTCCCGTAAGTACCAATTGAGCGATCTCCCCCAAGAAAAAATGGTAAAACGCTACAAAACTTTATCAAACGCAATTAGATGGTTAATGTGTTCTTAGTGCGCAACGCATTAACCGGTTGATGTTTAATTTAAATGAGTGTCGAGAAAAATTGGAAAAATTCTTGAACGAAAAAAACTTCCGAAATTTCGTTTGGGTGACCATTGCCTCGAGTAAAGCAAGTTACCATGGTTGGTGCTATATCTTTGTATGTGAATGCCTATAACTGTTCTCAGCAACCCCACAATTGTATGAAACAGCATTTTTTTTAAAATTTAGGACAGAAAAAAGTTGGCTTTGAATGCATCCAGTTCAGCGATTTTTTCACTCGAAGTATTTTTGAGTTTTAGTATATTAGGAACTTTGCAGTTCCACATTCATTCGATTCTCATGATTTCAAATATTAAACTATTTCAAGTTAACAAAAATTTTCCTCAAGTACCTACTGAACTATCACCTCCTCTCTCTACCTAACCCTACCCCCTATGCATACGTGTTTGATATTGAACGAATTTGCTGATTTGGCACGAAAAATGTGATTTCAAAAATTAGACTTTTCTCAAAACTTAATTATTTCTCTGCTAAAAAAACTGAGAGGAGTAAAACATTTTGAGATGATCAATTTCCTCAAGGAGATAGCATTTCGCTTACCAAACCTACGGAATCACCGCTTGCACAGGAACAATTATCGCAACCAATTCTTTCAATTTGAATTTTTCATCTCAGATTTGATTGCGTAAATGTCAAGAAAATTTAAAAACTTTCTGAAAAACGGCCATAAATTCTAAAGACAAAAAAAAATCCAAAATCCATAAAAATATCCTGCAACAAACATGTATAGGCCGCTTAAGTAGAGAATATTCACAAAACCGACTTTCGTGATTGAGCACAACCTGAAAATACTCAAAAATTATTTTAAAAAAGGTGTAAAAGTCAAAAATTTGACTTTTCCGAGGGCGATAACTTATTGTGTAATAATCTTGAGTGGTCGCTGATTCAGGGGAGCTTCCCACTACCCGTTATACCCATTGAAACCACCATATCAGATTTGAGATGTTAGTTTTGGAGAAAAGTCAAAAAGATTGACAAAACCGTCCATCAGTTTGTTCCGAGGGCCATCACTTTATGTGTAAACAAATTGGGCGTAGTCGCTTATTCAGAAAATTTTTCAAAACCATTCGATTCATTGGAAACAAAAAATCAGATGTAAGAGGGGTACTTTTCGAGAAAACCAAACAAAAATGCGTCCCCTAGAGACTTTTTCGAAGGCTTTAGAAAGGGCTCAAGTAAAAAGAGTCACTAGAGGAGTATGCAGGCACTCAGGGGAGTAGACGGTTCAATTGATAGCCCTTTTTGAAAATGTGGAAGCTTCTGAGAAAAACTAAAAATTTTTCCAATGAATTTGGAAATAGTTTTCCAAAACGAAAAAAAAAAGAAATTTCAACAAACCGCTTGGTGAACATAGAACCAAACTGAAAAGTGCGGAGGGTGTTTTCCTTGAAAAATGATTGGTCCTTATAGAACCGATTGGTGAACATAGAACCAAATTGAAAACTGTGGAGGGTTTTCCCTTGAAAAGTGTGTTTTCCTTGAAGCGACCCAGAATTAGATCATAAAGCCCATATCAAATAGGCCGAAATAATTTGGTCCGAGGAACTTTTTTTAGGGAAACAAAAAAGGAAATACGAAATCAAGGTAAAATAGCAAATTGTAAAATTACAAATTGTAGGAGTAAATCAAAAACTAAAAGCAGCATAAAAGAAAAATGCTTGCAGCAAATAACGAACGATTCCAAGCTGTGGCAACTAAGCCGACAACAGATAAGCAGACAACTAATTGGCCAACATTTTTAGTTGAAACAGAATATTTCAACAAATCGATTGGTAAACATACAGCCAACTTGAAAAATGAGGAGGCAAGTGTTATAATTATGTTTCCCTTGAAGCAAAAGTAATTCATTAAGCCGATGAAAAATAGGCCGAAATAATTTAGGCCGACTAATTTTTTTTAACGAAACTAAAAAAAAAACAAAGAAGGAATCACAAAATCAAGGTAAGTAACATAATAAATTGTAGACGTAAATCAAACACTATAAGCAAACATAAAGAAAAATGCTTGCAGTAAATAAAAAACGATTCCAAGATGTGAAAACTAAGCCGACAATAGATAAGCAGACAAATAATTGGCCGACCATTTTATTTGAAACAGAATATTTTTGGTTTGAAAAAACAGGCCCTCGTCAAATTCAAACCCAAGACCTTTACCGCCCCAGGCATATTTCCTCTAGGCTAAGTTGGTCGGGAAAGCTTAGAGGCTTTAATTTATAATGAATCAAGATGCAAGTAATTCGGTTAAACAAGTTGTTAACCCGAAAAAAGTCTATATTCCGGTTTGATAACGCTTGCTAATCGCAAGCATAATTAGAGAAAAATGAATGAAAATACATTTATTTAGGCAATTAACAGCATTCAAATGCAACCCCGTAAAAATATTATGAAGACTAATTTGAATTGCGCGTTTACTCGAAATGCGTATTTTATACAGAATTAATTTTCTAATTAATACTTGGCTAGGGAAAACAATTTACAGCTGGTCACTTAGGTGATGGATGGGGGAGATCGTACGGCTGATCCGGTTTGGTCCGTTGTTAGCCTGTTGACTTGGGCATTACAAATGTAGTAATGTAACAATGAAACACTAAATTAATAACTCAGGTCTTTCCCGTAAGATTATTTGAACACTGAGAATTCATGCGAAAAGGTGCTCTTTCTCTGATTTGAAAGATAGATAACTTATGATTAATAAACAGTTAATAACTAATGATCATCAGGTTTTATTACTCGATGCTTTATGTCAGACGCTCCGAGCTTTTTGCGCAAACAGACAGCGGCCAATTGAGTTTAGATTGTCTTTGAATCTATTTGAACCTAAATTTGCAAACAAGTTTTGCTTCCAATGAAGTTTGAATGTCACTTTCAAATAGATTAAAGAAGCCGGAGGCAACAAACAGTTGTATCAATTTATGTTCCTCTAATTCACCAATATACGTTTGTCCTAGCAAATACGAACGATGTTTTATAATGCCATGGAAATAAAAATAACGCGGCATTTGTTCAGAAGTTGAAGAACTGGTACTTTCACTTGTCACATATTTGAACTTTTTCAGCAAAAGGTGTAAAATTTGAACACTTATCTTGAAATCTTGCAGCAACAATGAAAACAAAAATCAACCAATAGGCCATTTATTTTCTAGACTACCCAAAGAAAACTTAGCCCATTGACAATTTCTAAAATGTATTAAACGTAAGAAAACCGCAATAAAAAACTTTTTTGAAAAAAACTTTCAAATTTTGATGAAAAAATATATGCCCTTAAAGCTCTTTGAATTTCAAGAAAAATTATGATTGGTGCTTTTTTTAAACTAAAACACTCGGTTCATAACATCCCCCTTTTAAAAAAGGTAGGGAGATTCTTGAGTAGATTAAAATGGTCGCTCCTTCGACCATTCAGAACGCAGCAAAATTAGAATTCTCAATAGAAAGCGCTACTGCTAATTTACTGTATTTATCTACAGTGCTGATTTGAAATATCCGGACAAATGAACAAAACTTGAATTTTTAAACGCGTTTTTCTCAAGTTGGGTTGGCCTTAGACAAAAAATGATGAGTACCCAAGTTGCTTAGAATTGTGCCAGAATTATTATATAGCAATTTATTTTGCGAATTTCAGGATCAAAATTTTACCCCAAAAACGGGTGATTTTGGTTTGTTTTATTCAATTAAAAAACTTACACTATATCTATGAGTCAATTTATGAGCAAGCTATATCAAAAGGAGCCTCTCATACAGCCCAAGAAAATTTTAGAAGATATTACCTCCAAAAATTTGGGCAAACCGTTTTATATTTAATTTCGAGCAAAGATTTGGTATTTTATACAGTAAAAGTGACATTTTTGGCTTTCAAACAAAATATATTAATTAATATTGGATTTTGGAATTTATATTCTTCTAAAACTTTGTTATGGCTGACTTTGATAAAACTTGCTTTTCAATTGACTCATTAGATATGGCGTAGGTTTTTTGATTGACTAAAAAACCAAAATGTCCCATTTTTGGGGTAAAATGTTGCCCCCCCCCCCTTGAAATTTACAAAATAAATTTCACCTTGATGATTTTGGTAAATTTCTAAGCAACTTTGGTATTCATCCCAGCCCAATTTGAGAAAAACGCGTATAAGTTTCAAGTTTTCTTCGTTTTGTCCGGATAATTTAAATCAGCGCTGTAAAGGGGCGGAAAATTACCATAGGTGATATTGTTAAGTATATCCATTTGAAACAAAACTCAAATATCCATCTGAAACAAAACAATAGGTAAATTTTTAATTACGCTGGGAAATCTGGACATTAAATCTGCTTCGAAACTAGAAGTCGATCACGTTTTTTGGGACCTTTCCACATTTGCTGTTCGAAAGCGGAGCTAGCCTTCCTTTTAACAAGTAAATGAACTTAAAAAGAAATGAATAGTCGAACTGTGAAAAATCAAAATTGAGAGTGAAAAAAGTAGATACTTCGATAACTGTGCTCAGAACTAAACAACCTGATCCTCGGCAAACCAAGATCCATTGCCATGATTTCAACTATTCCCAGAAAACACAAAATACTACGGAGTGACTTTTCGTTCAAGTTAGTTCTCCAGGTAAAAGTAAATTGTTTTAAAATATTTCATTGCTGCAAATCAGTCAATACTATTCATCTTATTTGTTTGTTTCTGATCCAGAAGTGGCTGTAGTGGGGTCCCATTCGTGGATCTTCTTGGTTGTGGTTGAGAAGGGCGTGTAAGACCTGAGAACAAAAGGTCAGAAATAAAATATGGGCTTCTTGAGACAAAAAATAAAACCACGCAACTTGTCTTAACCCAAAAGTTGTACTCATTTGCATTATTGCTACCAGTATGTCAAAATGTAACATCCCCACAAATATAACAAAATAGAACTCTCATACTTGAAATATGCAAGCATGTAATTACCCTCTAGGGAAACAACTACTATACCAGCTGTTCAGATATTTTACGGAAAACCACTGTTGTGCCCTTGATTAAAATATAAATGCAATCTTTTGGTTATAATAGTTTCTACCTGTTGAGTCCACTGTAATTGGGCTGGTGGGGCATGTGGAACTTCTGTTTGGGGAGGGGGTGTTCAGAGGGGGCTTGGTCTGTCATGTGGTGCATCCACCTGTGCCAGTCCGGGGGGATCTGGGAGGCGTCGAAGTGGAAGTAGCCGTAGGCGGGGTCAGAGGGCTTAGGGTTGAACTCCACCCACCGGTTGCGGGCCATAAAGTAACTAAAACAACAGCAGTTCATACAACACAGGGCTACTGCAAGTACGTCATTGTAGAACATTACATACAAAGAGATACTTTTTTTCACAAAACTGCTGTTTTCTGAATTGAAATTCCGTGCAACATTTATGTTACAGTGATTTTCTGTTATGTTGCATTAACTGAATCTTATTGAACGTTGATATCTTGAAGATTGAAATCAAAAATTGCAAATCGTTAAAGTTGTCATGAAGCTGCAAGCAGTATAGCTGTTTTAAAGCACTGCTTTAGAGGCTAAAATCGCTCAAATACTTTTGTCGAGAAAGGATGAAACTTTTAAATGACTATATAACTGGTTTCTCTTCTTACTTTTTGTTTTCGAAGTACTTGTTTCCAAACTGGTCCTCCCCCATCAGAGTTCCCTGTTTGGGCTCGATGCCCCTGCAGTACTTGAGGAAGGTGCCCGTTACTCCCCCATTGTGCTTGATCACATTGAAGAACTTACTCACCAAGTTCTTACCCTCAGCCATACTCAAATCTGAAATAAAATCTGATTTATAATACATGTCTCGAAGCTATATGTAAAAAATTAACTTCGTTTTCCAAAATAAGGGTTTGAAAGTCTAATGCAGAATACTCCATTTCGTAAATCAAGAAAGTTAATCAATACATAGCACTCAAAAACGAACTAAACTCATATGCTCAAGATGCAATTGTCTTCAGCTTTGCAAGAAAAATATCTGAACTAGAAAAAATCAACTTTTTTAGCATTTAACCTCTTGAACGCCATCCCATCCAGAAGCTGGTCCTTTTCATTAATTTCATTAAAGAGGAAAACCAGCACAAATTGAAATAATTTTTTCCAATCAGAATTTGACAAAAATCAATGTCGCGTTATATTAACAACCTTTCAATTTGGCAACTTGGTTAGAAATACAACGTGACTAATTAACTGAAAACACCAAAATTTAATTTCAAGCTTTTAGATCAAAAAACGGATTAATTGAGATCCCCTTAAAACGGATCCCCCAATTGACCTTTGATACCTGGAAACACCTTAGAACTTAGTTCTTTTCCACTATCGGAGAGTAGTCGCTGAATAAGCGAAGAATCTGCCAGTGCAAAAAAGTATTGCATTACTTGAATAGACAAAAAACATTCTAAAAGATATTGATCAAGATTCAAATAAAACTATGACAAAGTCATAAATCACAATCAGGAGTCATAAACGGTTCTGACAACACGAGTAATTTGGATGGATGACAGTAATAACAACAACGCAAGTTCTTTTTATTCTGGCGAGGAGAACTGGGCTCGCTACATAGCCAGTAAATGTCGCAAGTGGACTGGCTACTGGTCCATATTCAGTCCAGAGACGCTCGAGTTGGAGAGGACACTCAAGGAGAGACTCTATTCCGTTTATTTCATTTTCAAAGAGAAGAAATAATATTAAATAATTGAACTAGGCACAGCTATGGTAAAAATTTAGAGCTTGAATTCAAATTTCTATAAATTTTGGCATAATTTTTCAGCCTAGCTGCATATTTTTGCTAGCATAGCGAACTTATGTTATGTTAAAAATAGGATTGTTTTGGCCTAATTTTTAAAGCAACTATTAAAGCGAAGGCCTAATTTAAGTTAAAGCATACCTGAAACAAAAAAACCAAAATAATTGAATTGCGATTGGAATAGAGGACAACTTATGTTAGATAATCAAGCGGTGTCGTGCAGGTGATACCGAAATGGTACTTGAACATACAGTGGAAGAGGATCTATCGCACACGGGAACTGGACCAGAGGACGACAAACACAAAACAGGTCAACATATTAGAGTTAAAACCAAAATGCATGCGAGGTCTAGTCTGGAAACGATTTCTTTTGATCTTTACTCAGAAACGTGAATTTAACTAGCAAGCCCGTCTCCGTTTATCAATAGGTTCGCAAACATCTCTTTGTAAGCTAGTCAAGCAATGAAACTTTAAGCTTAAGGTCAGTCCATATTGGAAACTGGTTGGCAAGTTTTGCCGCTAATTATTCATTCAATCCATGCAGCTTTGAAATCTTTTAATTGTTTTCAGCTAGAAACGGGTCAAAAAACGTTTATTTTGCCCAAACCAGAACGGAGAAAAATTTCGGATGACATAGTTTGTTAAGTTTGCAATTGAACAAGGAAATTTTTTCGACCTCTTCATTTTAAACCTCCACCAAAGACTTGAATCTCTGAGTCTTGGGTTGAAACCTGCTTTGACTTACTTTTTCAACTATTCTTTTCGGATGATACCAATATTGGTTGTGATAGCACAAATTTAGATGATTTTCAGGATGATTTGTTAAATCTAGCTATGGCTTCAGTCCAATAAAGTTATTTTAGATAACAATAAAACGACAAATAAGTTTTGATAAAAACAAAAGTGCTTCCAATCTCTTTGTTGAGCTTCAAAATGACGTTTTCGACCCTGAATTTTCCTGCAAACATCCAGGTGTTATTGTAGCCAAAACGCTTTCCTTCATTCCTTCATTAATCATTATTCAAGAGAAAGTCAAAACAAAATTAAGTAGACACTGCGGTGTAATATCAAAAATGAGATACTTCGTACCAACGTCTGTTATGGGTTAATTGTTTATGGATTTACAATTTTCACTTCGTTAAATCAGATTTTGATGTGCTAGCGAAAAACTTTAAGAACGATTTATCTTAAGCGAAAAAATGAAAGCATTGCAGAAGCTTTTTACGAAAACAAAGTTTCACACAGATGCCAAGCTGCGCTTACCAAACTAAGGAGAACACGACAAAAAGCAGGTCTCGAGTTCTAAAAAGTGCAATAAGAAAAATTAATATAAGCCTCGAATTAGTAAAAAGTCAACAACGTCTCGGACTCAAACCGAAACCCTACAGCAACCTTGTAATTATGAGACTCACGCACTAACCACTCAGCCACGATTGATAAGTCCATCACAATCACTAGCCACAAATAATGACGAGATCAGATGCTGAAATTACCAATGCTACAGATCGCGCTTATAGCAAAAAGGCACACAAGTGAACACTTTTAATGAACACTTTTATTTGCGAGTAAGGTTAGAAAAAGCAATGTTCGTACTAAAAAACTAGCTGCTCGCTAGCGTAAGTAGTTCATGATTTGTATGTATATGATCTACTCAAGTTTTGCTGATAATCCATGAGTTGTATCCATCCAAACAGTTTTCTGAAATCTTTGTTTACATTAAGAACATATTTTTAAAACACAAAAAACGAGAACTCCTATACATGTGCCGCCTTTATGTAAGAAAACGAAATCATGCTTGATATCAACTACGGTTTCAATGATGCTGAACAAACCAAGTGTTAATAAGCTGCTGCCGCAAAATTTTGCAACAATGTGGGAAAACGATCTGAAGTTTTGCGTACGTATATTCAGAGACAATTATATACTAGGAAAAATTTATTTAGTAAAAAATATATTTCAATTAATAATTTTTGGTTTATACGTAGAAAATCGCACCCCTAAGGTGGGATGCTTTCAGAAGTTGGCTGTACAAATCCTTTTAGCTTAGGATATGTATATGGCGTTTTCATGATTTTTTTCATGAATTTCTACAAAGTTAGGAAAGGTTAAGGGAAAAAAGGAAAAAAAAATCCTATGAGCTGGGCTGTGCGACAAATTGCAGCAAAAGATATACGTTTATTCTAATGATTTGTTATACAAGCTTCTCAAAACTAGGCAAGTCAAAGATTTAAAAACCATAGAAGAAACCATTAATATTATTTTTATTCGATATTTTTTCTATATGATTCATTTTTGTTTTTATTATAACTGTATTACAAAATTCCTGAAAAAGGAATTGGGACATCAGTAAAAAGAAGCAATTTCGAGTATTCTAGTAAAATTGAGAAAGCCAGTAAGGATCGGAAAATGACAGTGGTTTAAGTTTGTGGAGAAGGACGCCTTGACAGTTATATGGACAACAGTTCTCATGAAAGGGAAAATGGGACCCCAGAAGAAAAGCAACAGTGTAGAATATTTTAATGCAAGTTGGTCAGTCAGTCAGGAGCAAAAAGAAAAAAAAATAACAAATTTACTGGAGAAAAATGCAAAAAAAGTTGAGGGAATATCACTAAAAAATGATTGAAAATCGATAGGAAAATTTGATTGAAAAGGAATTGACTGGACAGTATATACAAGTTGTTTTTGTTAAACCGTACTCGTTTCTTCAATTAGCTCCATCATAGGATGAATCTAATTCCGAAGCTTTGGGGAGTTTCAGAAGACAAGAACAACAACACTTTTATGAAATTTCAATTGGCTTTTGTTTGTTTTATTTTTTATTCGTAGTTTTAACTATTTATATTGTCCAAAACGGAACGGAAAAAAAATCTGATCGCTGTTTGGAAATGAACAAGGAATTCAATTCTATCAACCTATTCAATTTAAACTTAAAAAAACTTGAATTTCTGAGTCTTGGGTTAAAATCCGCTTTGACTTATTTTTTGAGCTGATGGATTTCAAGCTGTTTCATTGCGTGTATCTATTCGCAAACGTTCAAGTTTTTTCAAGCAAGCTACGTAGCAATAAAACTTTTGAAAAACTTCCAGTCTTTTTTTACAGCTTGAATCAACTCAGGCGAAAAATTCAGGTTTTCTGATGCAAGCTATTGAACAATAAAACTTAGAAAATAGCAAGCTATTCACTAGATGAAACTTTGAAATATATCAAGGTAATTAATAAAGCGAACCGGTTCGAACAAAATCAATTTTTCGAAGCAAGGAGGTTGCTATATTATTTAGTTTGTTCCAGACTAAAAATGATTTTGTTCATGCACACATTCGCGAATCAGCGCACTCGAAAAATCTGACAAAAAGTTGACAAGTACTGGTAAGCCTTGAAGTTGAACCGAGTTCATCTTGTCTGAAAAACTGACTTTATCTATAAAATTCAAGAATGTTCTCAGAAATGAGAATGTTAGAAAGTTCTACAATTTTCTCGGCCTTCTTAAACGTCGACCCCACAGAATTTTTTTCAAACGTTGCGCTCGACAAACTTAAAACAATTCGTTCAGCTAAACATTGCGTCCATAGCGAATTCTGACTTTTATTTAATTTAAAAGAAGATACGCTTCAATTGTTTTTATTTGAGTTCATAACTTTTATTAATGAGTAATTGCGCAGTGTAGATATCATTTGGCATACTAGTATACAGTAGACAAAATCTTGGTACTTTCTACATCAAAACTGATGTTTAAGCTTTTGCTCTATTGCTATAATAAGTTTTTCGCCAAAAAATGTCAGCAAAAACTTACATAATGAATTAAAGCACTGCTTGTTAACCTGTTTTCACTAAGAACTGATGTTGATGAAAGAGGAGGCGATGCAACTAAAGGCGTCCAACGAGAGAGACAAGAAGTTCCCCAAGCCCTACATCTCCATAAAGACCAAGGCGGGACTGTTCCAGCACCTCACTTTAGATTCAGACCAGGAGGTCATGCTCTCTTGGGACCTGAGGTGTGGAGACTTCAAATGCTACCAGGTGCATATG